GCTGGGTTGGGGGGGGTTCACCCCCCCCCCCCCCCCCGTGGAACTGCAGCCGGGGGGGTGTTGATGTCCCTCTGCTCGCCAAATGTGGGCTCTTCCCCTTCCCTGGAAATTCATCTTTTAAGCATCAAAGCTTTGGACTCCCACCCCCCACCCCCCTTTCTTTTTTTAAACATTTAACTACTGGGAAAAATTGGCTTTTTTTGACAGCTGAAATGATTTAGCTCTGCAGATGGCCGCACGCCGGAGGGGGAGCGCTCCACGGCGAGCCGGCTCCACGGGCAGGATCCCATCCAGCCCCCCGGGGGGGGTTCACGGCCCCCCGGCCACCGCGTGTCCTGCGTGGGGGGATGCCCGCGGTCAGCTCCCAGCATCCCAGCTTCCCAGTGCAATGGGAGCGAGCGTGTGATCCGGGCGCGTCACCCTGTAGAGGTGTTAAACCCAACGTCCAACCCAAGGCCATTTTATCTTCCTTTCTACAGTGCCCCCCCCAAGGACTCACCCCCAGCGCCCCTATCCCAAGGGCAGGGGGAGAAAATTCCCCTCCGGGCAGCGACTTCCAACCCTCAAGCCCCAGGTTCAGTGCCTCAGCTCACAGCATTACTTGGAGACTTCCAAACATCCACCTCTGCACATTTTTAACGGAGGAGGTTGTAAATTCTCTGTTTAATACCGCTCTGCAGCCCAGCTGCGGGCCGTGGGTTGGGTTTTCCAGATTACCGGTGGTCTGCAAGTCATTTGGGAGCTGCTGCGCTCCCTCGTTCCTCCGAGGCACAGTGAGCGGGGCTGAGCGTCGTGTCTGTCCAGAAACATCGAGAAAACGAGCAGACAGGGAAGCGGATCTTTTTAGCCTACTTTTTATTTTTTTGAAAACATTCTTTTAATAAAAAGAACAAGGACTCTGGCAATTTCTCAGTCATACAAATACATTAATGATACAAAGCCGTTGTTTGTGTTGTACACAATGGAGAGAAAACGAGGCTCGCTGACTTCCTTACCCACTGAAGACAGAAGAAGGGTAAACAGGAGCAGTTTTCTGTCTAAGAGATCCTGCTGCCCTTAGCACCTGAATCAGTTTTTGTCCTTAGGAAGAAATTAAAACGGAAAGCGTCCTCCCCTTGAGTCCCCCGCAGTGAGCGCGGAAGACGCCAACACGCATCAGTTGTACAAATATGTAAGAAAGTACGTACATTCCCAGCTATAAATCTGGCCATGTAGTTTTCAAATAAAAACATTTTCTTAGGAAAAAAAACCCTACAAATATCTGCTTCTATGTTTATGCTCTTGTATTTGCAACTCGCCGCTTCTCTCCTCACTCTCTTGTGCTCATCATCCCTTTTCCACGGGCCCCTTTGGCCCACTCGAGACCGACTCTGCCACGGGGACCCCTCCTAACTCTGAGGATGTGCTTAAACCCCTCCGAAATCCAGGCTGTGCACATGGGCAGGGGCTGTCCTGAACAGGGACAGACCCCTCCAGCTTCCCTGCTTTCCTAAGGAGTAGGACCAAACAGCTACCAAGGGGCAGGAACACCCCCGGCTGTGCCTACGAAGGGATCTGTCTGCAGCCGATCGTTTAGTTTGATCCCCCCATAACCTGGATCCCAGACCCTCCCGCTCACTGCGGCCTCTAGGTCTGCAAGCACTTTTTGATTAAACTGTCTTGCAGAGGCTGCATCCGCGGATGGGCGTCAGCAGAGGCTCCCTACGGCCCAGGCAGGTGCTAAAACTTCGCATTTGCTGCTTAAATTAAAAATACAAACCAGACCCTGGAGGGGTTTTCTGCGCTTTACCCTTTAGCTGTGATATCACATGTAATTTGGAGCGCAGTCACAGATCGGCGCTGCTGGGCAGGATATTGATGAGTTTTCAAAATTAAAATTATAATCGTCAACTAAACAGAGTTTTTCCATTTTCCTACTTTTTAACCATTGGTAGCACAAACCAATGCCCTCAAATTATGATAAATTTTGAAATATCAGTTAAAAAAAAACCCACATAAAACTTCCCTCCCTCCATCAGGCCAGACATTACTCCAGTTTGAGCAGCGGGTTTGTGGCAGGGAGCTGTGGGGGGGCGGAACCTGTCCAGGCAGAGCGGCTCCACCACGTACACCAGGGAGGGAAGGGATAAATGAGGGCGTGGGGGTTTGGCTGAGCCCAAACCAAACCCTCCCTCTGAGCGCAACCTTGGCAAAGGTCTCACCAGCAAAAAAAAAAAAAAAAAAAAAAAAAAAAAAAAAATCCTTTCCTTGTAGTGCTGCTGCTCCCACCTATCTAACCCCCCATCCGCACTCTGCAGCTCCCACTGCAGCGATGCCCCGGGTCTGATGTCCTGAGGCAGGCAGCAGTGGGTTAGGACGGGATTTTCTGTGCCGAGAATCTCACACAAAACCCACGGAGCCAAAGGAAAGGTTCTACCTTTCCTCGCTGCCCCCACACAGCAGCAGTTGCCCTGACAGACACGGAAAGTCACAGCCAGAGCTGGACTGTGCCCATTACACGCCGCTATAAAGACCAGAAGGGCTGGCAGCTGCACAAGTTAATGAGCTCTTGGGCTCTCTCTGGACCCCACGGTCCCAAGAAGCTTCCCTGCAGGATTGAAGCCACATGGGACACCCAGGAGCCCACGCTTCCCACTGGTGGGTACCACAGAGCTGGGGTCCCTTTTCTGGGCAGGGGAGGGAAGAACAAAGTGCAGGAGACCGGGCTCCTCAGCAAATTAGTCCTCTCTGTGCCTCTGCTTCCCCATCTGGAAAACGGGAGACGAGACGACACCTCTGAATTGCAGTTTCAGATCTGCTGCTGCAAAGTTACTATTAAAATTATTGCTACTTCACCCTTTCCTGCAAAGGTGACATCCACAGCCTTTATGACAACTCCCGTTTCTTAAACTAAATGCACAAAGGAGAGGCACCAGGGACCCATTCAACTCCCTGCCTCAAGGCTGTTTTGATCACAGGCACTTGATTATTTTTACTTATGTGGGTTTAAGAAACCGCACAGCACAGCATATACCAAGGGCAACGGTAAATAACAGAGCAGCATGAGCTGCCAGCTCTGACGGACCGGCTGGGCTGGAAGAGAGCCCTTGAAAAACCACTTTGGGCACAGGGCTGCCTGCTCGGCCCCGTCCAGGCTGGAACCTGACAGATGACGCAGGTCTCCTTAACAGCAAACACAAAGCAGAGCAAAGCCCTTATCACCATCTGGATGGGGCGACGCGTGCGCTGGAGAGGGGCGTGCAAACAAACCGGGCTTTAACTTGAAAGGTTTGTGCAGTGACTGGCACCGCTGCTGCGTTACAGCTGGCCCCTGGTGCAAGCCATGGCTACGCTGTCCTTCGGAGAGGTCTCAGGGACAGGCAGGACAGTTTAGACCGAAGGATGGACTTGCCCTGAACGGAGAAGCCCCCAGGCAGATGTCCTTCTCTGCAGCAGGAAAGCTTCTGCGTCCTCGAGCCGATCCACCGGTCACGGCAAACAACCGCCGCCTGTTCTGAGCTCCCGAGGGACACCCTCCACCGCCGCAGCGGGCTGGATCCCCGCTCGCTTCAGACGTATCGGTCACCTCTCACCCTGCCAACTAGCCTGAACATTTCACCCCAAAGAGAATGACACCATCTGCTTGGTATGTCTTCTCTGGAGTCTTCTACTGAGCATGTGAGAAGACCTCATCTCTGTCTATATTGTCTTTGGTATGGAGCCAAGGGGCTCAGCCCATCTGCAGCCATGTACTCTGCGTGGACGGGGCCAGAGTCTGAACCGGCCCCGTCCCGCTGGGGCAGCCAGCTCACAGCTAGAGCACACGTGCCAGTGTGGAAACAGAGAGAAAACCAGGGGTTTGCAGAATTCGGTGGGTGCCAGGGCCAAGGGAGCCCCCCCCCGTTCATACAAGAGCTGCGTCCAGGGGACACTGGTGACCGGCTGGGAGAGACCTGGAGCGGAGGAGGCCTGTGGAAGAGAGGGGCTCTGCATAGGATTGCTCGGACAGCTGCATTTCAGGCACCAGCTACAGATGCGTTTCTCCCATTATCCTGATCCAAGAAGATGCCATGACCTGCTCCTTGGGTACAAAACCACTGAACATTGCTCAGCATCTTCCTCTCGTGTCTCTCCAGTCCCCATCCATGCAAAACATGAACAGACATGCTACCAAGAGCCAAGCAGTGGAAAGAGGAGAACCATGCCAGAAACAAGCCAACATAACTCTGCGGAAATATTAATTTTTTTTTTTTTTTTCATGTTTCAGGGCTCCAAGAAACACAGCTGAACTAGATCTATGACCCTGCTGCTCCACAGGCATCCCCTGCGTCTCGCTCCCAGCCTGCACCCCGGCACTAACCACAAACAGGCACAGAAGAGGAGGTTTTGCAGCTACCAGCTACTGCAGAGAGCAACCAACCACGTCCTCAGAACCAGACACCAAACCTCCTTTTCCCTTCAAAAAACAGCTGAAAGTTTCCTCCAACAACCCAAAGCATTTGATGACCCAACTCTGCAAGACCAGCCTTTACATGCCAAACTCTGCTTCCTCTGGATGACCCAAACCTATCAACTCCTGTGTCTCCAGTTCACTCTGCACTCCCTTCCTGACAGCTCTCGGGCTGTCTGGAGAAACCTGGGCAAATTCTTTGGCCTCCAATATCCTCCCCCCAGGTGCAATGCTGACTGCTGGTCAATGAGAGCGAGAAAAGCCCTGCAGAAGAATCAGGTGCTGGGGGAGAACTTCTCCTGGGCCTTTTAAAGGAGCCCTGTGAACCCAGAAGGCAAGCAGGGTTCACCTCGTTGACGGGATGTGGGCACACATGGCTGGGGAAAAACAAAAGGTCAGTAAAACCAGCTTCAGATTTAAAAGCAGAAGGAGAAGGCAGAACCATGGAGCCTGTGGGTTACGAGACAGAAAAACATGCAGTTTTGAAGCATGACCCATTGAAGTGCCAAGCCAGATCTAAGAGCTGAGCACTGGAGTGGGAGCTGGTTTTCTCAAGAGCAGGACATGTCTCCAAACCATATTTTGAAGAGACCTCATCACCCAGCTATGCAGAGCTGTTTGGGGGAAAAACAGAACAAAGCAGAAACACCACAAGCCCTTCCCTTTGGTGCTTAGGAGAAACAAACTCTTGGGAGAGGGGAGGACCGAGAAGCCAGCTGGAAAGCTTACAAGGTCAATGAGTTTGGTTTTGGGCATCTCTGCTGATCAGCAGGGGCTATCGCTGTTCTTGGGAGCGGGGGAGCGACCTTTTTGCTCATGAAACAACAACCAACTCCTCCTCCCTCACCCTGGTCTCCCTTCATTCCCGAGGTGCAAAGCCAGGAAGGAGCCAGGCTGAGAAACCCTCCCCGGGCCTCGCTCCTGCCTCCTCGAGAGCATCGGAGTGTGCATCTGTGTGCACTGCGGGCAACAGGACCTCAGCACAGCCACAGGAAGTTAATCCCACAAGACCCTATTCTCATTTAAATTTTGAAACCCTAGCTGTATTAAAAAAGTCTTTGATATTAATATTAATATTATTTATTATAATAAAGAACAGTCAAGCAGCGTGAAAAAAATATATCTTAGCTACATTACCTTAAATTGCCAAAAATATACACATTTTTCTCTTTTATTTAATAAAAAAACAAATCAAAACAAAAAAGACACATGCAACATACTAAATGAGACATTAGCATCAAAACGGGTAAAGAAACGTACCCCAGTGCAACTGAAACACAGATAATCTTTAGCTTTTATTTTTGCTTTCCCCTGCTCTCCCTCTTTTTCACAGAGATAGAAATGTTTAATGTCGACCTTCCAGCAGTGCCCCCTTCTTCTCCCCTCAATCTGCCAAAGGGACCTTTGGCTCTGGGACAGGTTGAGGCGATTAGACAAGGAGCACACTTCAAAGGGACCGGGCGCCTTTGGAAGATGTCAGAGAAATGTGTAAGTGCTATATGTCTCTTCCCCTGCTCGTCCTCTCCAGCCTCGTCCCTCCCTGCTCCAGAAAGCCCCGGAGAGTGGAGGGGCTTTGTACTCAAACTCCTGCCACCAACAAAAACCAATGGCATGGCCAGCACAGAGCAGAGGGGAACCAGGGACGCGGTGTAGCTCAGCCCTCCCTGCTTTTAACAGCGATCCTGCCTACAAAACTGATTGCTCGACTTCAGTCCTCGATTTCCAACCTCTTCCGATGTGTGGGCTCCCAAATACTTTCCCAGTAGCAGTGAGGAGCCCCGTACAGCACGTTTCAGCCTCCGGACTGCAAACACACCATTAAGTACCTCTCACCGACCCCCTGCAAGTTTTCTGTTGTTGCCCAGGGATTTGGGCACCAAACCACTGATCTGAACGTGGTTTTTGTTTGTCCTGGGAGACAACGCATGTTGTACTACAACTCGCTACACAAGGGGTAGATGCCAACCAGCCTTCCCTCCTTCCCATCCCCTTTCTTTCTGGTACTGGCATGTTTCTAATTTCAGGGCGTGAAATGTGGTTAAATTTGGGAAGAGTTTGACCAGGTCTGGACACGATATCAGGCCCTTGTGGTTACAGATTGGTCTGAAGGCCGTGCTGATGGTCAGTGTGACAGCAAAACAGGTGGCAACGCAAATTTGGGACCTTAAGAGTAAAAAATAAAATAAAAATCAAACCCCAGACAAACGCAGCTGGGCAAGCAGCTGGCAGAGACCACATCTGCACATTTAACAGCCACTGTTTCACCCCTAACACTTCTGTCCATCATCTTGCTGACCCAAACCAGCGCTAAGGAAAATCTGTTCCCAAATCCCAAGGACCTGTTGCTTGCCAAAGGTTGGCAGGTACAGCCTTCACATCCGCGCAGCCATCACACGCACAAACAGGGCACTTCAGGGCTGAATTTAGCACAGCAGCCCTGAAACAGCCATTCTGCATGTTACTTTCAAGCCCAAGACTCCTCACATGTGGAGGGGGCAGCAAGGCAAGACGCCCACCGCAGAAACGGATCCTGCACTGAGCAGTGGGTCTCTGCACCGGGGCGGTTTGCGTGGCGCAGAGGGGAGGGGGGACAACACAGCTGGGGGAGGAAAAAGAAAAAAAAAAAAATTAAAAAAAAGTGCAAGCACACAGTTGTGCCAGAGCAATTTCAGGGACAGGGAGCCAAAATTAGAGTCAAACCATTTGCAACTGAAAGATCTCATTCACAGTTTGTAAGTACCAGGCGGATGGAAGGCGGCACAGCTCAGCCCGTGACTTACTCGGGAGGTGGCTGGGGACAGGGAATGTGTCAGCAAGAGCCACAGTTCAGTGCTCCTCTCTAGGTCTGTGCTGCAGAGACCACAAGGAAGGCAGACTTTTTTTTTTTCTCCTGCATTTCCACTTTTAGCTGCCATCTCCATCTTTCCAATAGCTTCTTAACCTTGTTAAAACATTAGCTTTTCTTTATAAAAAAAAATTTATATATATATATAATATATATATTTCTGAGCAGACAGCAGTGTTCTGCCCAGTTCACAGAACTGGAGGCTGAGATCAGAAAGGTATTTTTCTCTCCTTTTAGCCTTATTCAACCATTGTGGTGACAATCTTCCAAACAAACACACAAAAAAAAAGAAAAGAAAGAAAAGAAAATAAAATTAAAAGGAAGAAAGATATTTAGCAGATGAGTCTTGCCTATAACAAGTTTTTCTAGTACTATCAGCACAAACCCACTGCTGACAAATTTGAATAGTGCAAACTAGTTAGAGGCAGTGGGGATGTGCTGAAAAATATCCATTAAGGTCTGACAATTTTTTTTTTGTTTTTGTTTTTAAGACCCTCAGAGTTTCTATTAGCTGGAGTCTTCCCGCCTGCCCCCAGGAGCTCGGGATTTAACCAGCAGATAAGGAAAAGAAGGGGCATTTGTACGTTTGACGTAGATGTTCCCCTTCCCCCAGAGCTGCCCCACCTGTCCTTCAATCAATCCATCACATCCAAGCTCAGAGGAAGCCGATTTCATTGCTGAGGTTCCAGGCTACAAGACGGAGTTAAGGTCAAAAGGTGGAGAACAACGAAGGGTCTGATGTCCTAGCTCAGGAGACTGGTAATTGTCCCATTGCTTGGAGATCCCTTTTCTGAAGTGCCCAAGACCAGTGGAAGAACGTGGTTTTGCCAGACTGGAGTGATTTGTGGTGGGTAAGAAAGAACAAGTACCGGATTTGGGATTCTCTCTTCCCCACACACATTTCTATCTCCCAGCTTAGGCCTGGGAAACAACTGCCAGGTTCAGATGCACCTTCTGAAGTTGGCTACGACAGGGGTAATACTGGCTACAGCCCCTTTTTGCAAGCTGAAATTTTAGCCTTTGGAAATCTTGGAAGGAAAGAGTGAGAGATGGCACAAGGAGCAGGAGTGTGCTTTTCACGTGAGAAGTACAGCACCGAACCGACAGCAGCTGGCAGAGCAGATGTAGCAATGTCCTTTAAAGAAGTAGGTGGTTATCACCTCCTCCCCATGGACCAGTCCTTACCCATCGCTCCACTGCTTGTGTCTTTTCAGGCTGGGTTTGGATCCAGCTGAGGTGTCGGGGCTTCATATGATGGCTATAGAGAGAAGAGCATCCTAAGAGCCCAGCAGATGAAAAGCAGGTGAGAAATCTCAGCTACAGGACTTCTTCTTAACCTCCCCATCTGGGCGAAGCAGACCACGTAGGCACTGCCACCACGTCCCACTTCCCCAGCTGCGTCACATCCAGTGCTGCCTCCGACGGCACTGCCACATTCCTCTGCACCGTGCAGAAAGGAGTCCTCAGCAGAGGGGCCTCCCTCCACCAAGGTCTTGGCCAAGGATGCTCGATGGTCTCTAGTGCCTCGGCCTGGGGGGCTACCCACAGGCGAACACACGCTCGCACTCAAGGGCAGGGAGGAGACTGGCAGGCATCTGGTGTTAACTCTCTCCTCCACTCTGCACGGAAACACAGCTTCACTTTGAGCATGTGTGGCACGGACCAGGGCGGCGGGCAGCCCCCCACCTTCGCTCCTCCCGATACCAGGGCTTGGTCAGAGATGTACTGTCTTCCAAAGCACCTCTTGGCATTGCCCAGTGGCAGGAAATGCTTCTTGGAAGCCTTGTGCTCATTGCTCTAACAGTATCAAAGTTGACTGTGGAAAGCCACATTCCCCTGGCTGAGAGGAGTTGGCTGCTGGTTTGTTCAGGGTGAGGGGGGAGCTTAGCCCTTGTCCTGGGTAAGAGGAGCTCCCTTTTCATTCATGCTCTTTAAAAAACAAACAGAAAAAGAGACGCAGAGGAGACAGGTATCAGTACTGGACGGGCAGCAACATGAGGGAGCAGAAGCAGAGAGCCCTGCTGTGCTGCGGACCTGGCCCTGCTCACCGCGAACTCTCAGGCTCCTCCGAGATCAACGGAGACACGGGAGCCCCAGGTTTCCCCTCTGCCCAGTTCAGGCCGAACTGGCCCCTCAACCCTGGCCTTTGGCTCCTAAATGTCTCCAACCAGGGCTGGACCTTCTGGGTACAGGTATAGGCCAGGGGAGGGATGGAGGAGAGATGAAAGTATCACACCATCAGTCCCTAGACACTGGTGCTCCAGTACAAGGCTGCTTTACAGAGAGGCTGTAAACCTCTTCACAACCCCTCCTCTTGGGTGCAAGATTCCTTCTAAACCCTGGGTTTCAACATGCAGTCACCTTCGTATTTCATCACGAGGCTCCAATAGGGCCAGCACTGCCAGGGGCACATTGTCCCATCCAAGTCCTAGGGTTAACGGAGACAAATCTATGGCCTGTCTCTGCCTTGCTTCTGCAGCAGGTCTGGTGTGTGTCTGCACACACACACACACACGGAAGGGCACCTTGGGAGCCTCTGTGCCTACCTGCGACCCTGTCTGGGCCCTACAGAAGTCCTTGGAGGTAGGATCAGGACGTGACACTGGCTAGTCAGGGATGCAGCAAAGCCAGTGGAGCATTCTGGCTCTGTTGCCTAAGCAGTGCCCTTGCTCCCCCAAGTTAACTGTAGCGCAGACTGTCTCTCCCCGGGTCTGTACAGCGCCTAGCACCATGAGCTCAGTGGGGTTAGGGTAGTGCTAGCAGCATACGCACCGTTCCTTTCGGGGTGTTGCCATCAGCCTGCAGGTTGAGAAACGGGTTAGTCTGTGCTGTAAGGACGGGTGGGATGCCTGTCCCCGAAGCCAGGAGGCTGTTCCCAGGAGTGCTGAGTGGTGGAGTGGCCTGGGGGGCCATGAGGGCATTGCTAGGGTTGAGCTGCTGGGGGGAGAGGGAGGCCAGGAGAGAGCTGCTGCTGGGGGGCGGCTGGGGGGCCGAGGTCATCAGGGCGCTGGTGCTGGAGTGCAGGGGGGCAGAGGTGGCTGCCAGGAGGCTGGTCATGGACAGCTGGGACGAGCTTGTCATCTGCAGCCGCTGCAGCTCCCTCTTCTGCTGGATTTGCTGCATCATCTGGAACACCAGGGCCTGCTGCTCCTGCAGGGAAAGGTGAGGAAGAGAAGTCAAAGAAGGGATAAAGGGGTCAGGAAGAGGCAACACCTAATACAAAGGAGCCGGGAGACTCATGGGCACACTCCATCCCAGGCAACGCTACTGGGGACAGGGAGAAAGTCCCCTTGATCACATCTCTATAGGTAGAGAGAGGAACAGTCTGTCTTGTGTTCATTAACAGCCTGTGCTTATGACCTTTCCAACCCTGTTGTTTCACGAAGCGTAGGATTAGCTAACGCTCACTAAGACACCTGCAGGCACACAAATCTACTCCGCTCTTTCCAATCAATTGACTCATGGATTTTAAGTCTGTGGTATTCACTATCCTGAATTTCTAGATTGGCTGCTAATTTCCTTCCCCAGCCCATCCCACTTCACAGCTCGGCCCTGACCCACAGGGTCAGTGTAGGTGAGCCGGACTCGGGGGGACAAGGGCCACAGCTCACCTGCACCCAGAGGGATGCCCTCGAATCCAACCAAACTGCGGAAATCACTATAGCAACCATCGACCAATGCGGCAGGCTGAGAGCTGACATTGTTCCCGTACCCACAGGGATGCAGCTGATGACACGGTGACATCAGCTGCTGTAAAGAGAAGCCCTTTGAAATTTGCTTTTCCTGGGTTATAAATAGCCTGACCCAGAAATCTATCCAAAGCAATGGGCCAAGTTCATGGGAGATATAAATGAGCACAGCTTCATTGATGGGAACTGTTAGCACTCCCGTGCAACTCCACCGCAGGGGAGGGACACCACAGGTTTCTGCAGGGCAAGTGAATGCGGTTCTTACACACTCAGGGGCTTGTTTACCATCTATCCGTGCAGCCGTTCCCACAACAGCCTGGGATGGGGCTGCTGTTTTACCCGCGAGGATGCAGGCAAAGAGCCAAGATCCTCAGAACAGCTGCCTGATCCTTCTTCTGACCCCGAAGTCCTCAGCCACCTGCACGTTACAAGTCTCCCTGGCATCTCCAGTTCACCATGTTAATGTGCCCAGACACAGCTCACCTCCCTCAGAACTAAGCAGTTTGGTGCATATCTCTTTCTAAACTCAAGTAGTGTCCTCAAGCAAGTTCCTCTTCTCCTGTGGGCCTCAGCACATCTGCAAGCCCAGAGACCAGTGTGCTCTGGCAGCAGGAGCAGACATGATTTGCATTCAAAGATGGCTGGAGGAGGTAACAGCACGCCTGATTTTGTGGTGGCTTAGCCTTACCATGTTCTCACACCCTCAGGATGTGGGAAACCCAGATTAAACTTTTTCCTTTGTACAAAAAAGTTCAAATCCCCATCTCCCTCCCTCCAGGAGGTGCCGCACCTTCCTGCCTAAAGCTTTTCTCCTCACTCCACCCACAGCAGCCCAGAGCCAAGGAAAAGGCACATGACTCTTGCAGCCCTGTGGGCAGGGGATTCATGTGAAGGAGGAAGCCCTAAATTTTGCTCTCTGCTCCAAGGCTTTCCCATTAAACAGCTCATCAGATAAAAGGTGCCAGCAGGCACACTTACCGGATTAAGCGGCTGGGAAGTCAGGAGCTGCTGAAGCTGCTGGAGCTGTTGTTCGTGTTGGTGCAAGACGTGCCGCTGCTGCTCTGTCAGGGGACTCAGGCTGGGCATGCTGCAAGGGGAGCAGGGCAGGGAATGTGAGCGCAGCCCGTCTTGGTCCTGCATACATAGGGCCTCCCTCCCTCCCGGTGCTAAGCTTCTGCTGGAGAGGGCAGGGCTGTCCCCGCGAGCTCCCCATCCTCACCTGCTCAGGCTGGTGGAGAGCTGCAAGGTCGGAGGCCCGCTCGCCTGCGTCAGCGCGCTCGGAGGCTGGGCGGCCTGAGCTCCGTTCAGATTCCCCAGGATCCCGTTGATGGGCATCTGCTGGCCTCCTGCCAGGGTCCCCATCAGGCCGTCCACCATGGGCACCGTGGAGAGGCTGTGGCTGGCAGTGGTGCCTCCCCCCAGCCCGCTGCCTGCCACCCTGGCCAGGCCATTCACCTGCTGCACCCCGGGCAGGGGTAGCGAGGCAGGACTCTGCTGCAGCATGGGCAGGGGCGGAGGAGTGCTGTGGAAGGACAGGGAAGAGCTGCTCCTGCTGGGGCAACCTGAATGAGGGTCCTGGGGGAGAAACGGACATAAGAGCATCGGACTGGGGCAGCTTGTGAAAGGTCAGCTCAGCTCCAAGGGTGCTTTGGGCAGAAGCAGGAGGTGGGAAGGGGGGCTGTGAGTGCAAGTGCAGGTGTATGCTCAGAGGGATCCCAGAACTCAGACATGCTTTGCTGGATCTCTAGAAGTGCGGCCAGAATAACCTAAAAGCATTCTCACCTCACGCTCCCAGCCTCAGCTACTCTACTCAGAGATGAGCTGAAGAACAGGCACTCCAGAGAAAGAAACCTGATTTCTGGGCCTGGATGACAAGGCTTTGCAAGCTGGCTATCACGTCAGAGTACTGGGACTGTGCTGCTCTGTTCCCTCCCCGAGTCTCTGCCCCAGCTGGCTGGCAGATGCAGTGGCCAGTGTACCTCAGAGGAAGTGGAGAGCGAGTTCTCGATCCCAAAGCTGTTCTTGCATGGGGGGCTCTTGCTGATGCTCAGGGAATCGTTGCAGACTGTACGGAGGAAAGAAGTGAGGATGCAGAGTCAGGGGTGGAGCCTGACATTGCCACAGCGATAGCAAAGGACAGTGCATGCTGCCAGTGGCTACAGAGAGATAAATGGGTCATATCCTCCCCACTGTGACCCCCTCCTGCCCACCCCAGGGCACCACTATGAAAGGGCACAGGGTGATGCATCCCACCGGGTCCCCTCACCGTTGGGAGGCAGGATGTACTGGGCCTGGCTGCCTGGGCCGTTACTGCTGGTCACCACGGGGAAAGGGACAGAGAGCTGGACGTTGAGGAGCTGCAAACGCTCCTTCTTGGCCGTCAGCGTCATGATCTGCTCCTGGAGCCGCTGGTTCTCCTTCTGCAGCGAGTGCAGGGCTTTGAGCATTTCTACAACTGCAGGGAACGGAAGGGGGGATGGGGGCCAGGGTCAGGGGAGAGAATGGCAGACGGAGGAAAGAGGAGAAGGGGATCCACAGGAGGTACCACAATTAGACCACACTGGGGGAGGAGACTGGCCCCAGATCACAGACCCACTGCCAGCTACTCCCCTATGGCACAGACTAGCGCTTTGTCCCCCACCCGGCTCCTTTGCCTGTGGGCAAAATCCCAGCTGGCTCCCACACAAACATGCACAAGGACCTCTCCTCCCACAGCCCATGCCCTGAGTGACTCACTGTTTACGCCGGCTTCCCCATTGCCCTGCTTCTCCAGGAGCTGCTCGATGTTTGGGGTAGCCTGGGGAACATTCTCCAGCTGCCCGCTGCTGCTACAGGACACTGTCTGGTCGAAGAGGGTCGGCAGGCTGCTGATGGGGGACCTGGGGAAGGGTTGGAGAGATGTCAGTGATGCTTCCCCAGTCTGCACCTGCACTCCGCTGCTCCCTTCTCCCCACATCTCCTCTGCCTCACGCTGGGAGCGGCTGCATCCCTCCCAGCCTCAGTCTCCCCTGCTCCACTTCGGCAGAGCCCTCCGTCCCCGTTAGCCCCAGCTCATATTGGAAAAGCAAACCTGCCTCCTCCCATCCCATCCCACTCTCAGCCCCAAGGAGGAGGGAAGGAGCTGCCTCTGCTTCTCCCAGTCCCCTTCCCTTTCCCTGCTGTGTCATCCCACGGCTTCCCGGGGTACCGCTGTGCCCACGCGGATGCGGAGGCACCCCGATGCCTGGCGACAGGGGAGGACTCCTGAAGGACACTCACATGGAAGAGAGACTCTCCTGGGGCGACGTCCCTCGGCAGCCAAAACTGCAGTCTTCCAGGTCAGGCTCTGGGTGGGGAGAAGGACAGAGAGGCACAGCCTTCATAAGCGTCCAGCCCTCGCAGGTGCCCGGGTTTTGTCACCCGAGGGAGGCGAGCGCCGGTCCCCGCTAGATGGGAGCACCGAGCAGCGCAGGGCACCGGCATTGCATAACGGCTCCGCCCGCCGTGGGAGGGGCTGCGTGGCTTTGCGTGTCACCCTGTGTCACGCCGGGGGTGGGGGGTGTGTGTGTGTCACCCTGGGAAGGTCACCGACGTGACACCCCCCAAAACGGCAGCGGCCAAATTTGGCGGGCGGTGCCTGCGCCGGGACCGCAAGCCCGAAGCCGCGGGGAGCGGAGCAGAGCGGGAGCCGGTCCCTGCACCAGCCCGGCTCCCTCCCCCGAGGAAACCTGAGGGATGGGCAGAAAGCAGCTTTTCCTTTAGCTGTAAAGCTGCGGGGGGCGGGGGGGGGGAGGCTTTGCTGAGCCTGCAAGGATGAATCAATCCTGTGCAAAGCCCCACTCAGCTCTCCCAAGTGCTGCTGCAGCCCTTCTGCCTCCAGGATCCTTTCCTGAAACCCAGCTGGCATCCTACAAAGTCTCCAGATGCTCAGCTCCCTTCTAAAGAGCTTAAACAAGTGGTTTAGTATCCAGAAGCTACCCCCATAGCCATCTTTTTGTCCCAGGGAGCTAGGACACTGCAGTGCTGGGGGCGAAGCCACTGTACATGTGCACATGGGCAGGATATCTCCCATCCAAAGAGTAATCAAGAAGTGAAGTACATTTATCTGCCATTTGCTTTCCATCCCCAGAGCCTGCCAGCCCATAAACACACGTTCCCCTCACTCTGGGACGTGTCAGATGTTGCGACTACAGCCTACACCAGCTGGCTGACTTGCCCCTCCTCTTCTTCGCACAATAAGAGACACTTCTGATGTGCAAGAATCCAGGAAGTCTCCTGCAGGGAACGCTGTGATTTACAGTGTAATGCCCTGAGCAGGGCATTAGTTACTGGCAGTATTTTCTACTGCTGAGAACAAGCAAACACAGCTGTTGTTCAGCAGCTCTTACAGACAGGTATGAGTGGGATCCTCACTCCTGCATCCCCATGGGAATATCTTCCTGCCCATCAATTACAACTGGTCCACCCTCCTGGGGAGAAGCCACCGCTTTCTGGACGTGACCAGCAGTTGCCAGTCAACGGTAGTCTCCCAGTATAAGGCACCATGTGGAGACAAGTCTTGATTTCAGGGACACCACAAGGCACATGAACTTCCTAATTTCTCCAACCCAGGATCAGCTGCCAGAAGGCTGGGAACAGTCAGACCACAGCAGTGCTTCTCAGTATTGTTTCTATCCAAGGACCACCTAAACCCTTTGAAAAATATCCACAGCCCGCTGCTTGCAGCTTTGCCACAACATTTTAACTTGCAACCAAATAAACATTCAGCTAAGCTTTGACTGCCTCCTTGTTACTGTCATGTTGTTTGCTTGCAGCCCAGGGAGGTTATGCGCATATATACAATTCTGGTTTTCTGAAACAGTACCAGGCTCCATATTCAATTATCTTCTGGCCAACACCACCCTGTTGTCTACAGAACAGGGAGATGACTGAGTTATCACACAGAGACAGCACTCTCCAAGGCAGCAAGTATGAAAAAAGAGGCTTGAAGACAACTAGAGAAGATAAATACATTTGGCCTGTCATCATAATAAGGCAGGATCCAGGACAAGCCGTGGGAGGAAGAACTAGACAGTAGCTAAGGGAGTGGGAAGATAAGAATCAGACTTTTTGTACTGCCAAAGGCACCCTGGTATCAACCTGCATCAGTGATAACAGTTTCTCAGTTCCCCCGTCTGTAAGACAGGGAAACACCATTTCCCTGTATCATATTAAAATTGTGAAAAGCTCAAATATTACTGCAATGAAAGCTATGTCTCCATGGTATCTGTCTACACAGACACTCTCAGGAAAGGTAATCTGAATTACAGACAAGGCTGGATTACTTAAAACTTCACAACCATCCTGTTAACGACTTGGGATTAAAGCAGTCACCACACTTCTAAGTGAAAATGGCCCCACACAGGTAGTTTAATGCATGTTAATTAATCCCCCTGGAAAAAAAAAAGTGAATTTGACTTAACACCCTCTGGGCCACTAGCTCCAGCAGGAGGAGATAGTGATGGACAAACCTTAAACGTGACAAAAACCAGGAGCTGTTCCGAAGGCTGCCTGGAACTGGAAAAAACACGTCCTGAAGCTTATAAGATCCCAGTCAAACAAAAAAAGCAATCTTGGAAATGGAAACTAAGGATCAGGCTTTTTCGAGCACTTTGTATGTTAGATTTTGCCTACATGATTCATTCATTAGTAGCCGCAGGGCTGGAACAGAAAGAACCCAGACTGCCGAGCCTCCGTGTTGTGCCTGAACCACAGGGCTATTCCTGACAGCTCACTAGCTTCCTTCTTCTGTCAGCACCTTGCCAAAATAACAGCAAAGGGGAAGCGGCAGTGGGTCATCTCTCTCTTGTTGATTGCCGTGAGGGAAGAATAACTCTTTGAATCATCCCATTCTTTCCTTAATTCCAGGTGACTGAATCACTTCTGACTCACAGCTCCCATGCAATGGCCCTGACTCCCACTGGGGTCAGCAGCACGGTCACCCTCCCATTGCACTCAAGCAGATGCAAGCTGCTGGCGGGGACATACAGACAAAATGCTGCCAGTGACACATGGAGAGACAGACAGGCACCTTCCGTGGCCTCGCAAAGATCATAAGTAAGCATACGTGTTCATTCATGCTTTACATGCAGGCATGCATGCTTGTTAAGGCAAATAAGGGCACACTGGTGTCAGATTATCTGGAGAACTCAGAGCCACCTCTAATGAGGACTGTGTGTTTTAAAGTGCTTGTCACTCAGTGTGACACTGGGCAGAGTTTTACCTCCCAGGAGTTCAGCATCCAGCATGCTGAGCTGCCAACATTTCTGGGCTAGGGGAGCATGAGACAGTTGCACCACTAACTGCAACATTTGAAAATCAGGAGGGTGCTTTTGTTTAACTACTGGTGCAAACCAAAAATCAGGCCCACTCTGTTTTGGGAAAAAAGAAATCTGACGATGCCTCAAGTTTCCTGCTTATTAACCAGGCAATTTTCCAAGAAAAATGAATTTGCCTTGGTGGGAAAAAATGAGCAGTTGTAAGTAATTCAGTGTTGGCACGTTCATGTTTGGAAGCCGAAAACGGTGGATTTTGCTGCATTCATGACAAAGCCAAAGGGGAAGGGCAGAAAGTAACTCAAAACAGAAATGGCAGACGAAAATTAAGAGTGAGAGATCTCTCTCATTTAAAAAGAAACCCAGAAACCAAAACCCCAACAAAAACTTTTAACTTATTTTGAGCAAGCAAAAGCTCACAGTAGTTTTCACTAGGCTTGTACAGTTTTATTGTGTAAAAAGACAACAAATTTCTACAGGGAGGGACTTAACATTCTTGCACTTTTCTAGCACATGTCCAGGGACACACATTATCCAATGGACACACCAGCAGATGTGCTTTTACAGAATTGCAAGCCAGCACTTCATTAAGGCAAACACAAGCACCCCCTGCCTTGGGGAAAAAGCCACTGTCCCTCTCTCCTAGCCCCTGGCTCTCACACGCATAGGATGGGAGCAAGCAGGGAGGGCAGCTGGAGAACTATGGATGCAGTTGTCTCCACTCTTCCAGGGAGACCCCTTTGGAAGTCCAAACTCACATACCTTCTGATTCACGTACCTGCCCGGCTGCTTTCCGACTGATTTAAGAGTGGGTTGATTGATAGCCCAGATGTGAGGGGGCTTCCAAAAATATGTGAGGAAGGGAGGCTAAACGTTGAACCTGCCAGTGAGAACACCTACATGGCAAAACAAGGAGGGAGAGAGAAATGACTTCTCAAAAATGCAAGAGGAAAATAACTTCATTATTTCATCTCTTCCTGACTCTTGAACCCAGCTTGCTCATGAGAGAGTGTTAAAAATATCTCCTTGGAAGTCTCGCTAGACAGTTGAAATCTTCCCAGCCCCATCTCAGAGCCAAGAGGTCTGAATGAGCCATGTTAACACTGAAGCTGTAAAACTAACTCTCTCCTCCCTGTAAAACACCTCTCACAGTGAGCTCCTGACAAAGGACAAGGCTCTGTCTCCCGGCACACGCACAGCCCACCCAGCTGGGACGTGTGAGCCCTCCCACCAAGTTATCTGTGCTGCAGAGTGAAGGTAGGGCTGGCACTGGTGGCAGGATCCAGCCGAGCAGCAGCCGACGAGCCGCACAGGACACAGCACGCGCTGACAGCCAGGCCTCTGCTACCTGAGCGCTGTCCGTGCTCCACTTACAGTCAATGGAAAGCAATGCATCCTTTTAGGTTGCAATTCCTCCCACCCCGAAACAGGCTGCATGGGCTGTGACGCAAAACTGCCTACATCTTTCTACTGACTCTAAGGGAAGCTGCAGTTGGCAGATCCCCTCCAAACTGAAAGAAGAGTAGCTGTCCCGAGTGGAATAAGCAGCTCCTCTGTGCCCACAAACTGGCCCTGCTCTGCCAGTGACTGCTCTGTCCAACGCTTTCCTGCACTACAGTCCCTTTCCCGGTTCTGACGTTCTTACCTGTGTGGTGGAGACCGAGGAGGAGGAAGCTGGGATGGTGCTAGCAAAGGGAGACCGGTTGAGCTGTGGGAGAGACGACGTACCCTGGTGTGCCAGCAGGCTGGAAGAGAGGGGTGTACTGCACACAGCTCGGAGCACTCCGCCCCCGTGGGAAATAGGGTCCTTGTTACTGGTGTAGATCCCTGCAAGGGGAGGAGACGTGTTAGAGAGCCACGCTCCCCTCCGATGGCCTGGAAGCGCCTGGTTTTCTGCAGGGCTTGATCTGAGAAAGGGAGAGTGGCACCAACGCACAAGACCAAGTGTAACATGCACTTCAGCATCTCACGGCCTGGCATGCAGTGAGGGTGGTCACAGCCCACAATCCTTCTATCAAAAGGTATCACAAACTTTTCCAGCCCTACCCCTGCCACCGTCTTGTTTGGTCCTCACACCCCAATACAATCCGACAGAGAAATCACAGCATAAAGTGACTCACCGAAGGCTCATGTCAATGGCAGAACGGGGTAATGGACTCAGAGAGTCCCACTCTCTGTTGCCCGTGCTAGTCAAGGGACCACACTCTTGCTAAGCTAACCTGTCCCCTTCCATGATGCTGAGGGACCACGGTGGGGCACGAACAGATAAATGAGGAAGAAAGGGTGAGGAGACAGCTGCTGCTGAGAGAGGGGACCCGCCTGATTTCGCCTTGGCTCAGGCATGTGGCAGAGGCAGTGCCCAAAGCTGGGTTCTTCAGAGTCCTGCCAACATCTCTCCGCAAAAGAATGGGAGAACAAGCAGGCAGGAGAGCCAGGCCTGGCAGCCTCCTCCTCTTTGAAACATCCCTTTGTTGTTCCAGGGGAGAGGCAAAAAAAAATGGCCTAAGGTTATGATTATGGAAGTTGCATCAATTCTTGCAGCTCCTCTCCTCTCTCAGGCAGTGCAAATGGGCCAGGGCTCCCAGGCGCACACAACAAAATTATACCTCCCCCCCCTTGCAATCTGACCTAAATTGGAGCATCTGCAAACAACCCACAATAGACCGATGACAAGTTCTGCTGCCAGAACAGTGTCAAACCTCAGCCCTGAGCAGCAGGCGCCTCCTCTGCCTGCTGCCTTAACCCCTTCCTGCCACATGCCCTGGCTGCCCTTAACCCAGCCAGGCCAGGGAAGGGGACTCAGGCTGGAAATAGCTGTAAGCCTCTCGGCAGAGTTAATGGTGTGCCAGTCTCCCAACCCTACATGTATGTGGTAAGACCAGGATGAGAGGTTTTGCTTTTAAAAGAGGAGTTAAATTTGAACCACTTATGAGAGTCCCTCATTTGGGGTCAGATAGTGGTTGTTCCCATTTGGCCTGTGAATATCCCTCTCTATCGCTTCGGAAATTACTCTCTGGCTAGCTGAGGTTTGCCAGCACTTGAGCAAAAAGGGTTTTAAATGCCCCCCAGCTCAGATCTGCAGCCCATCTCCAACGACAGAAGCTGACCCGGAGGACATTCTAGGATGAAGGCCAAGATGGAAAGGGGAGACCCAGATGTGGATTTTTATAGCTCCTGGGACTGAATTAAAGGGACTGGACTCTGTGCAGACAGGTCCAGACACCAGCCAAATGCTATGAAAAAGACAGCAGGGCTGGGAGGAACTGTGCACACCTGGAGCCCTAAGGGGGAACATACCTGAACCCAGCAGCGGGGACTCCATGCTGAGGCTGGGCAGATTCCCCGTGTGGCTGAAGGACCGTGAAGAGTTGCCGATGCTGGAGCTAACAAGAGAGCCCCCGGAGAAGGGTGACGAGGAAGTAGACGTGGACCCAGCCAGCTGGGCACCCAAAATCTCTTTGCTTTTGCCCCCTTTCGGCCTGCCAGGCCCATGCTTGTTCTTCTTGCTACCCTTGTGCTTCTTTTCCTTCAGCACCTCTCCCTCCTCCATGCTGAGGGATGGCATGCGCTTGTGGCTGCTGCTGCTACCACTGGTCCCACTGGTCCCCACCGAAGGGCCGCTGACAGGGTTCGAGGCCTTATAGTCCACGGGGGAAGCATCACGGCCTCTCTGCTGGCTCACTGCGGAGGTGGAAAAGCGCATGATGGACCCAAAGCCTGAGAAGATCACCTTCTGCTCAAAGATGTCCCCCTTCTGGCCTTCATACAGAGGGGAGCAGTGGGAAGAAGAAGAGGAAGAGATAGGTTTCCGGTACTTCTCGTCGTCCTGCTCAAGCTTGGGGAATGTCACAAAGTCCTGGGAGCACTGCAAGTTGCTGCAGGAGGTACCTGGGGGAAGCAGAGGGGAAGCAGACGTAGGAAGGCTCGTGGTGGCAGTAACTCAGCCCATAAGGCAACAGGAGCACGGTCACAACACAGGTCCTCTGGCGCAGGCTAGTTACCAAGCTGAAGGCCATCCCTGTCACCTCCCAGGCGTTGCTTTGATGCTCTCTGGCAAGCATGAGAGGTGTATACCAGCAGCTTCATCCCACCCAAACGTGCACGTGTCTCCTCCCCCATGCTCTGCATCACTACTGTCCCTCCAGCCCCGATTAGGGTCCCAGGAGACAAAACATGCTAGCCATTATGACAACAGCTCGAAAAAGAACTGAGCAAGGTCAGAGCAGATGGGAGCCCTGCAAGGCTTTGACTCAAAGCTCAAGGGAGCCTAGATATCAGGTTTTGGCTCAGGTCTCTCCACTAGTACTCCTTAAAACACTGCTGCAGACAGTACCACCTACGGAGGAGAGGGCAGGTGCTGCCCATATTGCCTGTGCACAGTATCCCTTCCCTCCTCCCTCCACTCAGACATCTGGATCTGTTTTTCCTTGCAGTGCAGCAGGCCTGCACAGAAGGGGAGCTGTAACGCTGATCTGACGCAGTTCTTCTCTCTGTGCATGGAGTTAGTAGCAGCAAGACTTTTCCCTTTCTCTTCAAGAGGTTAAAGAAATAGCCATCAGCAAAGTTTCACAGCACTAGCTGGTGAATGGGTATCTTTACAAATCCAGAGATATCAAAGAGGAGCTAAGCAAAACATCCCCATTCTCCCCTCCTCTCTTGCTTCTCCTTCACCCCTTACCTGCAGGCTGGAAGGTCCCGCTGGATGAAGCTGAGCTGAAGCCAACCGAGCTTTTCCCGCTTCCCGTCTTCTTCCCCTTGTGGCTGCTGCCATGGCTTGAGGACTTCCTGCCTTTCACCTCCGACCTGCCGACCTCCGAGGTCTCTTTGCTCCCCTCATGGTGGCTGGTAGAGCCCTGGCAGCAGCAAACACAAGGTGACTCACTCAGGCCAGATGTGGCCACAGCAGGGGCTCTTTTTACCAATTTCCCCTTAAGAGAAGTAATTGCCCCCTCTGCCCACAAAGTGATGGTCAGGTCATGTTACTCATGAGAGGAAAAACAACATTTCCCTCTATTGCTGCTCGGTCACACCAGGCTTTATACGCCTAGGGATTACACTCATCCCATCTAACTGCAGGAAATTAAACAGGGCACTGACAATCAGGGCACAGACATCAGAGATTCCCTGCATCGTCAGCAGAAGGGAGTACCTCAGAGGGTTATTCAGCCCAAATAAAAGCTGAATTTGGCTGTGATTCAAACATATATTTCAGCTGCATCTCTCAGGTGTGATATTCTCAGCAAGGTCATTCCACCTAGGGGAGCTTGCTCATCCTTGTGCTGTGACAGGAGTTTCCCTGGGTTCCCTAAAGCATCCACTGAAGCAGCTCCACTGCCAGCCCAAGGCTTTCCAAATCTTCTGCAGTAAATATTTCACAGTGACATTGTTAGAGCAGCATCTGACCATGCAGCAACAGATGCTATCCAAACCCCATATAAGCCTGCAGGAGACAGGGAACCAAGGGGAGTGAAGAGGCTGGCCAGATGCTAGGAAATCCAGGAGCTTGGCATGAGAGAGAGAAGTGTGGGAGTTTAGCAGGGGGAGAGTGGAATGAACCGAAAACCATATCCCCCAGGGCACCCACGCTAGGATATGAAACCTTCACCTTCAAGTCACTTCAAAGCCAAACAAACTAGCAGTGTTCAAAGGTCGCTTCTTGCAAGGTATTACTGCAACCAATCAATATTATAGATGTAGCTCCAATGTGATGGCTACAACCCAAAATATAACACCTGTACATTAGTGCAAACACCTTTTATTTCTTACTGAGTAGATACAAGGAAGACACAGAGAAGCACAATACCTTTCTTACATTCCACTATCCCTGACTCCAGATGACCTCTTCTTGGGCAGAGCTAAAGAAAAAAGGGCTTGTAATGCAGACTCATGAATGCCCAGATAAAAATCTTTCCCCATTCCTCCCACATGGTTTAATCACTCTGCACAATGCAACAGCTGGCAGCCTAACACACACCAGATGTGCCGGGAATATGAAAGACAGGAGGAAGGGAGTGGTGGAAATTAGGGGGGAGAGGAGGGGGAATCTGTATTTTCTCATCACAGACTCCTGGATGTAGGAGATTAAGCCTTCTTGATTTATGAGCTCAGAGGGAGCATGAAAATCTTTCTGACTTCCCACATCTGCCTGGGGAGGGAAAGGAGAGCAGTGTCTGGGGGCTATGGGAAGTCCTGAGCCTGCTCACGAAGTCACAGGAACGAGATGGCTCATGTCTCAGCAGAAACGCAAACCCCTGAATTTTCCTCCCATAAATTCACCTCCTTGGAGCTCCACACAAGGTGCACGAGGCCACAGCAGGGCAGGGAGAAACCACATGAGAAGACATGTTCTAAATCCAGAGTGTCAGGAAGGGAGTGCAGGGCAAGCAATGAATCAGTGCAGGGTGGAAGGGGGAAATCTGAGCTGGGAAATAAATCTTAATTGCAAAATTAAAGGGGAGGGGGAGGACAGAGGGGAAGAGAGGCTGGGCTGACTCAGGGGAAGGTGGTAAATGGACAGACACTCACCTGTAGGGCTGATCTGACCTCACAGACCTCCCTGAGAGACTCCCAGAGATTTTGGGGGCAGGATTTTCCCACCTCCTGCCAATTGCTATCCTAGGTATTGTTTGCCAAACAGGTCACGGCAGACAGATCCGTATGGTACTACCACAAGCCCTCCTCACCACAAAGGACCCTTCTCTAGCAGCCATTCCAGAGAGCCTGAATTTGGGGCAAGGACCCAAGCACTGCAGCCGAGGAGCAAAGAGAGGGAAACTGAACTACACTAAATCACTTCCCCTCTCTGTGCCTCTATTCTTTCCCACTTTGCTCCGTGGAGCCTGCAAGCTCTGTGTGGCAGCAGAGCCTTCCAGGAGACACACGTGGACTGCCAAGCACAACACGGCCTTGATCTGAAGGGGAGTGGTCTGCTACCATAATGCCAATATTAATAACAGTAATGAGGGTTACAGTCCCATCGCCTCCCTAATGAAGGAGATTCTCCAGCTCAGGGCTGCTGCCTAGAGGGAGGAGGACTGGAGGAACCTGCATGCCTGCTGCCTGCCTTGTGCATAAACAGAGGGCTCAATCTCTGGATCATCGGCTTTTCTCCAGCATGGAAATCCATGTGTGTGTGCGCAGAAACACCAATGTTTCATGTGTTGCAAACAGGTGTGTGGGGGAGGGCATGCTGCAGAGGAAAAAAGAAATAGGGAACCACTGAGGAAGCGAGAGCCTTCTTTCAAAATGAGGCAGCAGCTACATTTTGAAGGTCTATTTAAAGCAACCAAGTAAAAAATGTCACCAGAATAAACCTGCTGCCCCAGCTGGAGGTGACAGTCTGATGGGGAAACGCCTGCCTCAATCCAGGAGCCTGGAGAAGTGAGACGAAGTCGCGCAGGCACCCAAGCGCAGGCATGCACGCACCTCCTCCCCCCCGGCACTTGCTGTCCCCCGAGGGGCTGTACCTGTTTTCTGGTCTCTCTGTGACACTGTGCAGCACCCAAGCTCTTCATTCATTAATTTATTTATGGGAAATCAGAAGAGCATCTCTTTGCCTCCTGATTGGCGGGACGAGCTCCTAGAGGGAACCACTGACGAAATACAGAAGGGGTGGGGGAGGCTGGTGCCGCGTCGGAAACACAGAGCGGCTTTGCCCTGGATTAAACTACTGGTGAGGGGAAGCAGGGAGAACACAAAATGAGGAACAATGCGACGAGAGCAGGAGCTCCTCCAGTCCACGCACCACAGGGCGATGTGCTGAAGCAGCCACCCAGGCAGGCTGTAAGCACCAGCTGCCTTTCCACACTGGATCGCTAGGTAGAGGTCAGGAGAGTCTCCGTCAGGAGCTCTGGGCCAAAGCGCTTGCACAAGCTATGGCACCTTCGTGCCTGAACAACTCGCAACCTTTACCACGTCCCTTCCCTCAACCTCGAGACCAGGGAGCACTGCACTGCTGTTCTTTACGGGTGGGGACTGGAAACACAGATGGGCTGAAGACCATATTTTTGAGTCCCTGATGTCACTGGCAAATTCCCACTCATGTCAGGACATGGGATGCTAAAAGGCTCCGGGATTCTTACCGCAAATATCCATGCTGACACATGCTTTGATTAGCAGGGGTAATCATCAACCTTCCTCCACAAACCCCTACAGCATCACAGTGACTGAATTTGCCTGAGCCAGGCGCAGTGCAGAGGTTCCCAGGATCTGTCAGCTCCAGGCCGGTCCTGGGTAGATGCCGAGAGCTCAAATAACAGTGGGAAACCTGGAAAGTCTCCCTGCCTCCAGTGGCGTCTGCAGTCGTGAGCTCTTTGCCCTGCTGTGCTCCCTCTCCAGCACCTGACCTGGAGAGGGTGGGTGCGGGGAGGCCCTGGCATCCACGGCTTAGATTACAAAACCCAGAGCAAGCCAGATGTTGCAGCCCAAAACACGTAGCATGTGTGAGTGTATGTCAACAAGTGATCATGATGTCTGCAGCTGGCAGAAGAAGGCAGCTGGGGTGGCTTGCAATCCTGCAGATTTACTGCAAGTGCAACAGAGAGCGGCAGGACGGCTCCCCAGGGGCATTTGCAGGGGGAGGGGAGAGGCACGCTGCTTGCTGTTCGGCTGTGCACTAACCTCGATCGCCAGAACCAGGCACCAGCTACATGGAGAGATCCTGAGCGTAGAAACTGCCACCTAAATTTGTCTGGCGGTGTGTGACTACAGAGACGGGAGCAGCCCTGGCTGCCAAGACTTAGTGGTGAGACTCATTGCTCCTTCCCTGGCGAGAAACCCTCCTCTGCCCCAGGCCCTCTCCATGAATGCCATCTTTCCAACAGGCTGTTCAAAAGCGTTACTAGTTGGCAGCATTTTGACATTTTTGGATAGACCGCATGCAATAGCCAGAAACCACTACCCAGAGGGGACGTTTTCTGCCTCCCACTCCCTCAAAAGTCTGTAGGAGCTTCAAGTAGCCAGCATGACAATGAATGACAGCCTATATCTAAGCACAAATTCACTCTCTACAGCCCCTCCCAATCCATCCAAAAGCCCTAGCCCCGGAGCACCACCGGAGGATTTTCAGCAGGTCAGCTGCTCTACATGCTATCTGGAAGGGACACGCCTGTGCCCCACGAGCAAGGCCGCCTGCGCCTCCATGAGAGTGACAAAAATCACATCGCCCAAAGAGACTTTTCAGAGGCAGGAGGAGAGCTCAGAAGAGGTGTTATGAAGAGTTGTTTGCATGCTGTGAATTCACACCCTAGTTTCACTTTCCGGTGTAGATGAGAGCTGAGGCCACCGCTGTGTTTTCCGTGTGTTTATCCACCAAACCAGAGTGAGGCAGTGAGAGCTTGTCACTGCACAGACAGAACACGGAGGCCTGGTAGAGTCCAAGTGTCAGATATTAATGGTATTTAGATTCCTAGAAGATGCAGGGAAGCACTCAGTGAGATGTTCAGAAATCTGGCAGAAGTCAGAGGTCTAGTAGAATTGATTTCAAGAGGAAGACTGAAACCACATCAAAGGATCTTCTTCATAACTAAGTGGTTCAAGAGGGGAACACAGGGTGGACAATGTATTAGGTGAAAATTGGAACTGAAAAATAAATCTGGACTGCAAAATTAAAGAAAAATGTGAACCCAGAGGCCAGGCTGCCGGAGGGAACAAGGAAGTGGAATATACCACTGTTCCTCCAAAGCGATGAAACTTAGTTCCACTGCTGTCAGTGTAAGCTGGTGAAGTAGCTTGAAAAGTCCTACTGTATAGGACTATAGCTCTGAAAATCCATTATTAAAGGGTCGCTGAAAGTTTCAGGACTCTGGTAGGAACGCCAGACGCTGGGGCTCAGATATCTGTTGCCCCAGGCTCCTTTTAGGCTAAGCAAATTGTCAGCAGACTGGAGCGTGGCTTCAGGTCTTAGTAACACCTCTCCATGGCCTGGTGGCTGGTGCCACACTACAGTCTGCCCGCAGTCCAGGTGCCCAAGGAGCAAGCAGTGCCAGGGCCCTCCTGCCGATTTGTCTGACTGATGTTCCTGCTCCTCATTGCCAGCTCCAAAACACTGGTAATGCTCAGGGCCTCCAGTCCAACCCCTGCTCCAGCACAGCCTGCGCACCAGGACGGCAGCCTGGGACTCACTGTACGTGGTGCCGCTTTGGCTATGGTGCAAGCAGCATGGCGAACTGGCAGCATGGGTCTGGCGTGGACAGCAAGGGCTGCATCAGCCTCCTGCAGCTCTACACGGCTGCTCCAGGCCAGTGTCCTTCTCCCAGGAGCCTGACCATCTGCCCTCCCTGCTATAGGTCATTGACAGCTCTCACCCAGCTGCTCCCCACAGAAGACTGGGGGCTGTGTCGCCTGCAGGAATTATCCCTGGGGAGTTTATGCTCTGGTTCTTTGGGTAACTTGGAGAAGAACAGGGAGGCAATAAATTATTTGCCCAAGATCATGCAAGTGGTAAGGAGAGGAAGAGACCCCAGCTCTCCTCAGACTCTAACCATGGCACAGCAGGGACCAGCAATGCTCTTCTGTGTAGTCACACCACGAACGTCAGCTTTTGGTTTGCTGCATCTACCCTACCCACTCCCCAGTACACTCTACTGGGATGAGCTGTACTAATGTAAGACCCAGAAAGGACAAAGATGGTTTTGGCTTCCAAGAGGAATGCTGTTTGGACATGCTACATTAATGTGTCTCAAAGACTAATGTTTTACATTAGTCTAACCTGTGCAATGTTACACTGGTGCAACTATCCAGAAAGCCTCATACAACCACCCCCTGAGGGGTTTGTGCAGGGTTGTAGCAGGCTGCTGAGAAGCTCTTACATTTGATCTGGAGTGAGTACCTTTGGTAACACAGTTTGAACAATACTTTGGGATCTACGCACAAAAAAGCAAGGGAACTACACTCTGCTATGAGGATCAATAATAACTCCCTAGGGAAACACTAAAACCCTGTCACTCAAGTACAGCTATGGTAATTAGCATCTCCTGAATTTTAGCTTACAAAGAGCAGAAAGCTGCCTGTAAAACTGAATTGTACCCTTCCCTCCTTATTTATAAAGGTCTGGCAGGGCTTCGGAGGAGACAGTGGGCAATTGTCTAACAACTGCTCTAGCTGGCCAAGAGTCAGGTTTTCAATTTCAGTTCAGCTTGAAAATAATCTTCTTAGGCTATCAGTTCCTGACAGCTCTGTTAACTGGGTGAATCTGCTGTTCCCAAAAGTCAGAGCTGAGCTGCCCTAACATGAGCACAGGTAAATCAAGAGTGACTGCTGCTCAGAGGCTGTTCCTCCACTCTGTCCTGCTGTAACTTTCTACTTCTCCTAGCCTGAGAACCATGAGACCAGCTCTGCCACTTCAGCTCTGACCTACATCTACTCCCTGCTTCCAGGCTTGGCCTCACACAGGACATAGAAAATCCTCTTCAGACCTAACCCAAAGCAACCCTGTGCTGACTGGCAGGAGCTTTTGCTCTTCCAGACTGCCCCTGCAGTGCTTCTCACAAATGCAGATACTGCTAGCCTGTGAATTTTCATTTTCACAAGGCAGTCCTGCCACGTAAAGGACACCCAAGCCTTTCCAAGTAGCACTTCTGTGCACAAAAGGACATTCCTGGGACACGTTATTTGTCCTAGCAGGAGCTTGGCCCTAGTCCTACTCTCACTTACACCAGAACAGCCCTGCTAAGCAGTTGTATTAATTTACATTCCTACTACATAGAGGGGAGTGCAAGTCCAAAGGTCCGGGCACTGGAGTAAGCTCACTTGTTTCCTGACCCTGAACAACTGCAAACTTGGCCTTCACCTTCTTGCATGCAAGCTCGAGGCAAGTTCCACTGTGTCTATTCTGCATTATTGGAGCTTGGGGCTGGCACGAATTACAGAAAGCTCAGGGCTATCCTGATTTACAGCCAGGTGCAAGAGTCCATGTCAGCAGCATGATTTCAGCAGTGAACAGCAGAAATACACTGACATCCTGACTGTGCCCCACAAGCCCTGGACACTGAGAAGAGAAACCCACAAAAGCGACATCTTCCCAGCAGGGAACTGGACTGCCTCTACACCTCAGGAGCAAAATAGGCCACCACACTGTGCCCTTCTGCCTGAGTTTTCCTGAAATGGAGGAACTAAATAGAAACCAACCTCCCATTGTCTTACACAGAAAAGCTACCTCTATTATGCACTTTGAAGATCTTACGTGCTTCTAAGATTGTCTGTTTTTTTCCCCCTCACCTACATCAGTTTGTCTAATAAAGGATAACACCTCCTCCCACAAGCCTTGCCTTGCTTATCCACCTGAGCTGTTTACAATGTGGCAGCAGAAAAGGCCAAAGCATGGATATTTATCTATTCCACAAGAGCTTCAAATCTGAACATCTGCTGCAAAACAGGCTGGCACTTACAGCTCAATCACTTGGGACTTTAGCTCCATGATTGTGTCGTCAGTGCTGACAGAAATCAAGACAGCTGCCGTGTTAAATTCCCAAGGTGGGCGTCGAGGTGGGGAGTCAGGCAGAGAGAGTAAGAATGTGACGAATCAGGAATCAAAATAAATGGACAAAAGCCCTCTCTCTGCTCTTCTGCCCTGTCATCCCCACTTCCTAGGAAAGCCAGTGTCAATGGTTTCCCCCTGCCCTCCCCCCCCACTCTGCATTCACACACTCACATCCTGTGGGTTTGGTACCTTCTCTGCAGCGACGGGCACCGAGGATGGGGTAAGGCTGGTGGGAGACTCCGGACGTTTTTTGTGCTTCTGTTTAGGTCTTTCTTTGTCCTTCCGACTCTGCAAAAGAAATAAGAGAGTACTGGAAGCCTAACTTTTCCTCTGCTGAGAATAGCAGTTCTAAGGGAAAAGAAAGCAGGGTGTGTAGGGGTGGATTTACAACCATACATTCATATTCATCTTTTCTTCTCCACCCATCCACACGAGCCCAGTATCCCTTCCCCCACATCCCAGCTTCTGGCTGGGAGCATCCCACTATCTCTACCCCAGCTGCAGCCAACATCTGGAGTGCAGAATATCAACAGAAGCCCCCAAATCAGTTTATGGTAAGATGATAGGGAAGGACTTAACAAGCTCTGGCTGATTTCAAGAAACCTGAGCCTTCCTCTTGCTATTTCCCCAAAGGGACTCTCTGCCCCCTTACCCTCGCTCTCTACCTTCTTCAAGGGTTTCTCAGATCCACCCTGTACAGCCAATGGGAGAATCTTGATTTCAGCCCATGTTGCACGTGCACAGGTAAAGAGGTCAGTCAGCAGAGATCTCAGAACCTGGGCTTGAACCTAACCTAGAGATCCCCCCCATCTCCCCTCCCAACAGAGACAGCTGGTCTGGGTCCATCTTTGCTAACAGGAGACAGACTAGTTTGATTTCTTCATCCTGTTTTTTTCTCTCACTAAAACCCCAGAAACATGGGATTCTTCAAATTGCAAACCAAGGAAAAATCATGGCCTGAGAAACACTTGAGTCCTGCCTGCCCCGATTTTATATTCTCCTGGGGAATGGACTGTAAGCAAGGAGGTTATTCTTATATAGTGCTATCAGTTTCTGCTACAACTGAGATGTTTTCAGTGAAAGGACTGAAAACATAGGCCTATGTGTCAAGTCAGTGGGGCTTGAGGATGCCCAGGCCAGCTGGCATACAGGATGGCTGGATAGAAGCCCATGCTCCATCACACACTCCTGCTTCCTCCCCATCTTCCTCAGCTGCACACTCCCATGGGAACACACTCAGCTGACTACAGGAGCTTTTCCATGCTACCGATGTCAGCTGAAGATGTGATCTTCTTTGCTGAAGCTGCAGAAACTTTTTTGCTCAGTTCCAAACTTCCCAGTGTGGTCGCTGGTGTGCAAACCAAGAGAGCTGCTGTCAGATAAACACCTGCATGAGATGCAGGGCTTAGAAAAATCCACCCTCCTGTCTCTGAGACCTTTTTGTGGGAAAGAATGCCCATTCTGGTACAACTCCCTTGCATGGGCATTTTATTCTAGAAGCTGAAGTCCTCAGTCTGGACCGAAGGTGAGTTCAGAACAGTCACATCAAAATTCATTGACTCCAGAAAGATCCTCATTGCTTCCTCATGCAGGCAAAGCCCTGAGGCTACAGCTGCCAGCACATGCCAAAGTTGGGATGCTGTCAGGGGAAGATGCAATTGCAACAAATATATGAGCTCCACTGTGTGTTTTGGGGAGGAGAGAAGAGAGTGGAATAATTAGCTTAGGAAACAATACACTAAATGGGAAAGAAGGGGGTAGGAGGAGAGACAGGGCAGGAGGAAAAGGCTGGGAAAGGCAGGCATGAAGTGAAGCAGAGGTGAAGCAAAAATGCTCCAGAAATCAGCACCTTCCAGTGTGGGTTTGGCTGAATTTTCATTGCACTTGAAAAGGAGGACCATGCTGCAGCCATCAGTGACCCTGCCAGTGTAAACCTGCCATGATGCCATGGAAGCTTTCACTGGGATGAGCTGGTGAAAGGAGGAGGCAAATGCAGTCTAGAGCTTCACTGCACTTGCTGAGTGCCCAACCAACACTGCCAATATCCATCATTTCATCACAAGACTCCTGGCTTTTGGCATATCTGTTAAAGCCTCTGTTCCTAGAGCTACAGTATTTTACAAGAATCTCTGTTTTCTTTTTTTCCCCTTTCTTTAATACACATTTCCAGCTTTGGCAGTGAACAAGGAAAGCTCGAAAATGTGATTTCTACAGACGAAGTGCCAAAAGACAAATTAAAATTAAATCTTTACTAAATCTCATAATGTTTTAAATGCTTGGGGGCTTCTTGTGCTACAAACTCTGTCCAAGTCTCATGGGTCTATAGGACAGGAAGATGGGGAAACTGTGGCCCAGTTAGTTAAGCAGCTTGTCACAAACCATGTGCACATCAGTGTTCATTATTCTGGTAGTAGTAACAATTTGCACTCACTTAATAGCACACAGCAGAGAGTTTCAATGAGCTGAAAAGAGGTTTTTAATATCTACATCTCATTTTACAAATGGGGAAACCAGGGCACATGGGATGAGAGAACTTGCTAAGATTTCACAGAAGGTCATCCAAAAATTCAGAAAGAAAAGTCAGGGATCCCCACCCCACCTGGATACACACTTGCCTACTTGCAGATGCTGCCAGTGCCACTCACGGAAGCCAGAAATGGAAAACAGGAGCCAGACACCTCATTACAATACATTTTGCCAAATAACTGCAGAAACCCTGGTCCTTAAACTTTCTGAATACCACAAAGCTTATTCTCTCATTTTCAGACCCCGAATCCCAAATGCATTTCAATCATAAAGTTACAACAGGAGGCAATAAGATATACTGCTGCAAATGCCAGCTAGACAGCACTGTAATGATTTGATTTCACGTTATCATGGTCAAGATGAGACAAGGCAGAGCCAAGCCATTTTGGCTAACGACAATGAACCTACACACCTACATACACACACATACACACATGCACATGAGCGGGGAAAGGCAGAAATGTCCTGACTGTCACCACAGTGAACCATAAAACCTCCCACAATTTCATTGTGATGGCAGCCACCAAACTCACATCCTCCAGCTTCAAAATCCTGGCTGTCTCCTGTCTGAAAAATCTCCCTTCGCTGTCAGCAGTGCAGAGCGAGTCTACAACAGCTAACTGAGCAGTCCTCTGGTTATATGTAGGAGTGTGTACATATGTACATATTCAGCAAGAACCCAGCCTGCACAATAGGGACCAGATTTCTGGAATGCTTCAGCTCCCATTTAGACTCTTGAATAAGTGGTCAGGTTTTCCAAAAAGCTAAATGCTGGGTATTGAGCTCTTTTGAAGATCTGGGCCTGACTACATGTGCTGAGCAACTGCATTCAAACTATTTCGAAAATCTGTCCCACAGAGACCAGTCTTCGTGCTCTGCTCAAAGGACAGCATTGAAACCAGAACCACCGCAGCCTGACGAGGAGCTCGACTGCACTTCTGCTCCACGTCCCCGCGTGCAGTCCCAGGCCATGGCCACAGGCACACCTTGCTCCTCTGTTGTGCTTACCCAGCACTTTTCCCCCTCCCACACCACATGCTCTCCAGGGTCTCTGTGTCATTTCTGCTCGGGCAGAGCAGAAACCCACAGGACCAGGCACCCAGGAGCCCTCTGGACTGCAGCCCTTAAGCTTTGCACAGTCTGGGTGTCTGCTGCCTTTGCACACCCAATAGCACCCATCTCCCACCCTCCAGTTACTCTCTAATACTTTGGGGTACTCAGAAAGGCAACAGGATCTGACACCTTCAATATTACTAGAGAAATGCAGTGCCCTGTGTTAAACAGGCAGGACAATTAACTCCGTTACCCCACGGACAGACGGGCTGGGCTGCCCCCAGTCTGGGGGACTGGTGGGAAGGTTACCCTGGCTGCCCACAGCGACCATGGCACTGAGAAAGTCAGGGTGCTCAGTCGCTCCTGGCTATCTTTACCTGTGTTGACAGGCCCTCAGACAACCCGAGGCGTTCCCCAGCTTGCACCAGAGGCTTTTAAATGTGTGGGTTCTCTCCAGGAACTGGAAGGCTCCAAATGCTTCCTGCAAGAGCCGCAGGGCGCAAAGGGAGGGGAGGGCAAAGGGAGAGGGGGGACCGCAGCACTCAGTCCCCTGCCTCTGAAATGTCCCCTCCCCACCTGGCTCTTCTGTGTCCAGCATTTCGTCTCCCTGGCACACAGGCACTCTCCTCTGCAAATTCTCCTTCCAGGAAGCTTCACAGACAATATAGCCACTGCCAACAGCCCAGCCTGCCCACAGAGACCTGCCTGGCTGTGCCACGAAGCAGGAGTCAGGGGAGGAGGAGGAGGAGGGAGGGAGGATGCACTGCGAGAGCAGGAAACCTTTCAACACCCCGATCCCATCTTCGCAAGCAAAAGCCAAGCCCTACCTTGCAGCCGCTCGGTGCTCCCTGCAACAGGCTGGCCGGCTGGGCGAGCTGCGGTCTGCGGGGAACATGAACCTGCCCCCAGCAACGAACTTCACGGAAAACAAACTCTCCCCATGCAGGACTGAGCAGCTGGGGCTTGGCATGTGGGCATGGAGCAGGCCAGGGCTGCGGCGGGGGGAGCGCGGTTGCATCGTGGGGGGGGGGGCGTGCCAGCGACACAATCTCCCTTCAAGCTCCCCAGCGCAGGAGGAACGAAACAGGATCTCTCGCTGCCAAAAAGGGTTGTACACAGCTCCTCCTGCTCCCCCCGCCACCGCCGTCTCCCCTTCCCCGAGCCCCCTCTTCTAATCTGCTGGACACCAGCAATTGGATAATTAAAAGTAGATTGGGCAGGGGAAGGAGGGAGGGAAGAGCCGGGAGCTGAGAAGAGCCAAGTGGGCTCTACTGCTCCCTCCCTTCTTTCCCAGGCTCTCTGAACTCCCTCACCCGAAGGAGGAGGCCTGGCTCTGGGCTGCAGCCATGGCAGCCGCAGCGAGGAGGAAGACGGCACCGGGCAGAGGGACGCTAAGCCCCTGCCTGTAACCTCACTTGCACCAGGGCCGTGCTGGGGGATTTCAGCGGTTTGCCTTGAGACACACTCTGAGTGCATGAAGAGTTTTTACAGAAGGACAGACGGCCAGGCCTCGCTGGGCTTTGTGTGCTCTCAAATTATTGCTGCATCCCCTGCTAATGGAAGGATTTGCTGGGGGCGGTTAAACACCCACATAATGAGAGGTCACAGAAAGCCAGTCAAGGATGCTATGAAACAAGGCTACTATAGCAAGATTAGAGCAGATTTAGGTTCAGTACTCCTTTGAAAAAATCTGTGCTGGTCTTAGAAGCAGCCACTTGCATCCCACTTGAAAAAAAAGTCCACTTTACCCTTTGATGCCTGTGTGGACACAGATCTCCAAGAGGCAGACCTCCATCACCAACTCGAATGCAAACACAAAGCCCCTCACAGACCCACTAGGTTTAGATTTCAGCCCAGTACAACTTCTCCAGTGTGCTAAATATGCCAGGCTGGATCCTTGGCTCGTATCCTCCACTGGCATCAGGTCTAGACAGACAGGCAATGGCAGGGGGGAGGCAGGCTCTGCCACGCATCTGCTCAGACGTCATGGGACCTGGGGCTCCTGCACTGCTCTGGCTGATGCTAAAGGGGTAAGGGGGGCAGGACAGACACAGTCCCTGTACCCCAGTAAAGAGTCATCCCCCACCGTGGCTAGGGAAGCAGTTCAGGAGCTAAAGGTGCGTTATGATTGTGGAGAACTGGCTCCGTACCCAGACCTGAGGAACAACTGCTGGTGGGCTTACTTGCTCCAAGAGCCTGCTTCTCTTTCCTATGTCACTGGGCAGGGACCGTTCCTCTCATAACAAATGTCCCACATCCAAATTAAAAGTCCCCTGATTTTGCTTATGGGTTCCAGGTGTTCACTAAGAATAACACTGGACAAGTGTCTCCCTCCATGGGGTATACGCCTAAAAACATTGTCGTACATGTGCTCCTGTCTGCTCCTGGTGTGACAAATTTCATTCCACGGAGTGTGGTAATTTTTGTCTATGCATTTCAAGCAGACAATATAGGTGACAGAACATCTGTACTTCATTCAACCCCTGTGCGTCATCCAGCATTTTCTTGGTATTTAGCTATTGTTTTCTTTCTTTCTTTCTTCTTTCTTTTTTTAAACAAACAAACCCTGCAAAGGCTCCCACAGGGTAGAGCACACACATTGCAATACCAACCCCAAAGACATAAATGGGGCTGGTTTTGCTAAGGCCTGGTATGTTCTGCAGAAAACCCAAAGCCTGGAGCTTTCCCATTTTCAGGACAGAGCAGAAGGAAATGCTTGGGCTGGTATCATTTGTGCCTGCAAGAGGCGGGGGATGCCAATGCTGGCTTGCAGTCCCACATCACAATTGACCCTTGTTCCGCAGAGAACAAGACTCTTCACAAATGCTGAACTGTTTTACAGCAGGGCTTAGGAGTCCAAATCCCAAATCTTTGCTGTCTTACTGAAGCCACTGGGTTAAATCCTGTGCCCCTCACTTAGTCATTAACTCTGCCAGAGTTTTCCTCCGTAAAGCCTAAGTAAACAGCCCCAGCCCTGCACTGGAAGGGAGCTGTCAGGCACTGAGCTCCTTCTGGAGCAGAGAGCCATGAGCACCTGCAGCCTGAGGACTCACACATGCATTTTGGTCTGCCGCTGAGTGATCAGCTCCCCTGCAATGCCTCCGGCTCTGGGAGGACGGGACCAGCCAGCTGCACAGCTGGACAGGCTCAAGAAAAAGCTGTTCTATTTCAGGTCAGCGCAGCAGCACACCCAGTTCCCCTGAAACATGTGCAATTAGATCATGCACTGCTAGTCACGTACTCCAAAACCATGTGGGAAGTAATGTTGCAACCCCCTTTTTGGGTACCCTTTCAAAAGGTCTCTGTTCCCGCACCGCCTCACACCCAGCCCTTCTTCCCTGCACTTCACAACCGCTCCCAGACCTGTAAACTCCCCAACACCCCTGGAAGCCGACAGTGCCTTCCTTACCCTGCCCGTCTCAGCTGCTTTGCACACCTCAACCCCGTTTCTGTGCTGACTCCCCTGCTCTAAGCGGAAGAAGTTGATTTTGCACTTGCGCTGCGGCCATGCCAAGCAATCCTGGCCCTGGAAGGGGCCTCCATCGCATCTGCGGCTCGCAAACCCGATGAGCCATCAGGAGGGGAGAGCAGTGAGGCAGCAGCGAGACGGAGTCTCTGCACGTTTGTGGGGAACCCAGAGGCTAACAGTAGTGGCGAGCGCCACTGAGAAGCCTATAAATAAATCCATATTACTCCTGTTTTCGCTCTCCCCCTGGCGCTGACCTGCTTTCCAACCACAGCCGGGAAGCAGCACCACCCCTGCTCCTACCTGCCAGGCACGTGACTGCGCTCCCACCCCTGCCACCAGAAGCTGTGCAAATATAGAAACCCTCGTAGGGTCCCCAGCCTTGGACTTGCAGAGTCTGTCAGTTATAATTACAGCTGAGCTCTCCAAAGCTGCCGTCAATCACCCCGATCCTGCCCTCTCTCCCACCCCCTCTGCCTGCTTGTTGGCTAAAAATAGGATGTTCCAGTACAGCCGTTCACCTTGTGCCAAGCGCTTGCTCCCTGTCCATGGCACAGATGCTCCTTCTCCCTCCCGCCTCCTCCTCTCCTCGCAGCAGCTGAACACACAAGAGGAGTAAATATTCCCCATACGCTTTAGCCTTGTCGGCAGTAGGAAATTTACTGACTTGGTGTCGGCAGCAGGGTAGGCACCACTTTGTAAGTGAGGTTTGCCTTGTTTGCCCATGTATCAGGTATGGTTTGGGCAAGCTTCCCAAACACGTAACGGACATGGTGGGCAGTGTTTCAAACTGGATATTGTGGGATAACCTCTGTAAATAAAGAAGGAGATGGCTTTCCTGCCCACAGAATTTATGGACTCTCAGCTGGGCATGCCAGGAGGGTGTCAGTATTAACTGATGGCCGTACTGCTTTTGAAAGCCTGGATGCCCTTGTGCCCTGGAGACTGGGCTGAGATCCATCAGACTTAGGCCACATAACCCACTGGAGTGTCATCGGGCTGTTTCTGGATGTGGGTCACTATCATTACCATTCAAAATTGCTCGTGCATCATGAGGATGCCTACTGCAACAAGATAAAAACAAACAAACAAAGAGGTAAACAGCCAGACACCTATGGCAAGACTTAAAAGACTCATGCTGCAATTTGCAGGGGTATCACCAATTGTGTTTATACAACAAGGTAAATTTGGCTTTTGATATAGTGGAATATATCCAGAGGTTGCTTAATAGAGTTAATTCTGGATTTCTGCTAACAAAAACAAGGATATGGTCCATATACTATTAAAAACTATCTGATCATACTGACAGTATCCCTGTAAAAGTTATTTCTTCTTCAGATCCTACTCCACTGCTTTGGACAGATGGGGTACAAAGGCGGGTGGCAGTACTATGTTGTGGATTCTTTATATTGCAAAAGCTGTATCAAGAGGTAGGGAAGATTTCTTATTCTGCTGCCACTTGCCTCAGAACCTGAATCCTCCAAAACACGTGTGTCCTGCCTTTAAGGGCTATTTATTGTTTTAAATAACAAATACCTCACAAGCCTCCGGCCTCCTCATTTCTTTTGGTACAGACCCTTCCACACTGGAACCTGGACCCCTGTCAGAACCCAGGAGTCTGCTGGGATTCTGCCTTACACGTTCACTGCTGCTTTTCCTTGAAATATGAGCATTTGTCACGTGAGTCAGTTGGTTAATTATGAACCTTGGTGTGCTGTTAACATGTCCTGTAACACTGCAGCTGTTTTGATGAGTACATCTTAACCAGCAGAGTTAGATAACTACAGTACCAGTCAGATCCAGCACGCAATGTTCTTTGAAATAATTGTTTAACAAAAATAAACTATTTTCACAGGTAGACTTGAAGCAGGTGGAACCCCTGTGGCTCGTTAATCTGACTAACAAAGTACTACCTAGTTTATACTAATTATTGTTCTTGCCTACAATTAACCTGCTGGCCACAATGCTGATTACTAATCAGTATCTTTTTGTCCTTTAAAACTTGTGGGATCTGAGGACAATGACCTCCAGTTTATATTCTTGAGCTTCTCATTTAAAACCACAGCCAAACTACTGCCACACAGATCAACTCAGTAGCTGCAAACCATAGCACAATGTCATCCTCAGAGTGGACTTGCCACAAGACAGAAAAGGGAAAGTTGCACGTTTCATAGGCATGTTCCATCAGGACCCCTCTGGCATAATCTGAACATGCAAAGTTGGCCTCACATTCCCCATGGCTGTGCTGCTCTATTTGCATACACATTTCTAGAGGCCTGTTTAAAAACGCAGCCACTCTTCAGATCTCTGACTGTGAAACTCTTTGCAGAGTCAGGGCTCACCTGAGGAGCCATCGGTGCTCTCTGCACGGTCTTCCCCCTCTCACCTCCATTCCACATGACTGTGCCTCTCTGGATTGACAAACTCTGTGCAGATCTTACCTTCTTTGGCCTTTCGTGGTGGGATACATGCTTCTCTTGAGCAGGGGATGTGGATCGACTCCTTCTTCCAGCAATGAAGGAGCTACCTCCAGAGTGACGTGAGGTCTTCTGAGGTAAGTGGGGAAGGGGAGAGGAGTTGGAGAACAGGAGAAAAAGAAAAAGAGAGAGAGAGAGGAAACAGTGTTATAGAGTCCAGCTTTCACTGTTACAGCGAGCAAAGTTACAGTAAATGGCTTGTCTACCACATGCAGGACCAAACTCTTTTTTGTACTAGATGCCCAGCCTGGTTCCTAATGTGGGGACCACAGCAGATACCATACTAGGGGGCTTACAAACAGCATGTAGATCTAACTCCCCAAATCCTTTGTTCTTGGTGGCCCATGGACACTGACACTTGTACAAGAAAGGCACAGCTGCTAAGAGACCATTCTGTAAACAACCAGATAAATTGTAGCAGCAATGTTGCTTAGACAAGCCAGTCCTCCTGAACAGCAGCGTCTAGCGTCAGTTTTGAGCGGAGCATGGGGGGGTGTGTGGAAGGAAGCCCTGTTCTCAGACTCCAGGCACTAGCAGAAGTCCTGCTATCTGTCTCAGCATCAGTAAACTTGATACAGAGCTACACTTGTGTCAGATACTGAGGGTACCTGAAGGGCAGGGAAGGTGTCCCCCAGTTTGACTTTGAGGGGAAGCTCAAGACATCAGTCACTGTATGTGACAGCACTGATAAGCAGGAAGAAAAGTGGGAAAAGCCAGCAACAAAGGAGCCACTGAGACATAAAGCTGTAGTGAGAGGATCAGTTTCCTTTTTGCTGGAGGGAGGAGAGCAGGTGTCTACTAATTATGCAGAACAGGAAAAGGGTTCCTCTTTTTCCTCTCAGTACTGTAATTAATAGGGGAAATCCTTTGCCCCAAATACCCCTCAAACAGTGAATGACTCTGTGTCTCTTCTGGGCTGTCTCTGTCCTCAGGCAGAAAGTTCTGGCTGTTCCGTGTTACCCTCCTGCCCAGGGTGCCTGAGCCATACCCCTAATTCTCTGGAGCAACAAAGATCATGGCTGCTCTCCTTTCTTGGGACTTACCTTTCAGCCATACAGAGTGGGTCAGGGAAGCCAAAACAGATGGGAAGAATTCAACCCCTAATTTTGAAAATGGGTTTAAAGCTGCTATAGAAATGCAAAATATAAATTAATCTTTATTCCTAAGTGACTCTGAATGGCTGAAAAGGGAAGCAGGCTACAGGCCTTGTTTATGTGTTCTTGGTGTTTCTTACTGCTCTGAGCACAGACACAATCTAGGATGAATACAAGCGTTTTATGTGACAAAAAACCCTCCATTGCAGGGATGAAGAAACTCACCATTTTATTGAAGTGGTACTTGCAGTAGCCACAATATTTGACATTGTCGACTTCTAGGACTTCCTCTTCACATAAGAGGCCAGCCATCTGGGCACTGAAATACATGCAATTAGGAGGAGGATAAAGCAAACTGTACAGCCAGACCACATATCCCATCAAAGGGCAAAGAATAGTTCAGAATACCCAGGCAGGGTCTTGAAGTTTCCTGTTCTGCTCATAAATAGTATGCAAGGAGGGGAAAAAAGTTCAGATTATTTTTAATTCATATTCAGATCTTCAAAATTGTCAGTACTTTTCTAGCAGATTGTTTTGCAATTTTTGTTTTTCTTAAGGGAGGCTGGGAGACCAGTAACAATTCCAGCGAAAGACATATCATGAGCAAGGATCCATGTAAAGCTGGGAATCTCCCCGTTCTGCTGACAGGCAATGTTGTTTTCAGGCTGCAAGGGTAGGTGAGGATATCAGCCCTTAAAATCACATCATCTAGATGATACTCTTGCATGTGCTCTGCTGGAGAAGGAACATTCCTGGGTTGTGACTCACCTCTTCTCTTCTTGGATTCCACATAGTCTTAGGGAAATCCCCAGCCTTCGTTCTCAGCAGGGAAGGCTCACTGCTGAAACCTCAGCCTTCCTGGGGAAGTTCCCCTCACAAACTCAGCAAGGATGAGATACTCCTTGCACAAAATAAACCCAGGGTGATTAGCCCAACTCCCCACACAACCCATCTAGTGCGGCCTCAAAGCCACAACAGCAAAACCAATAGCTGGGGCTATTCGTGGGGTGATGCTGTGGGGAACTCACCAGGTGACATGGAAAGCTTGCCGGCAGCCATGTCGGTTACAGGCCATGCATGCTCCAGAGGCTGCTTTGCTCTCCCTGCCCTGCTCTTCACAGATGTAGCAGGTCTGCAAAATAAAGGAAAAGTGCTCACTCAAAGAAGCAGACAAAATGTCTGCTTCACTCTCACTGTTCACCAGGAGACAAAGCCTTCAAGAACTCATAACTCTGTGGCTAGTTATCTCCCTCCTATGACAACGGCTCTGAGTTATTTCTCAGTGGCATGCACAAAACTCATGCATCTTCTTTTTCTCCCCAAATAACAACTGTGTCAGATCAAAATGTGGAGTAACCAACATGCAACTCCCAAGGTGGAGATTGCTCAAGTTGCAGGGAGTTGGGCAAGAGAAAAACAGAGGACCAAAAAGGTATTTACAAGAACAGGGATTTACTTTGTAAGTTATTTTAAAAGGAATCTGAGTACCTGGTAATTCAAATAAATTGGATGGGAGATGTGGTAGGATAAGATGACCCCAAAAAGCCAAGATGGGGTAGGTACACTTGGGGCAGCAGGAGAAAGAGATGGCCTTACCTTGTTGAAGCGGTCATGGGGTACATACTGCAGGACAATTGGCTCCATGGTGAGCACGTTGGCAAACTGCACCTCTGGGATGTACAAAGCACAGACGACATGGGCCCACCCTGGGGAAGCAAACAAGACAGAGAGCGGAGATTAACATGGGACAACGCAGAAGAGTCTTAAACTCAGACAGGGCTGCAGACAAGCATGGGAGGGAGAGAACGAAGAGAGTGTAGGAAGGGAGCCAACTTAAGTTAGATGTTAGATTTGAAATACTGCTTGTTCTAACTTGGTTAGGAATCAAATCCTTTGTGGGTGAAAGATAGACGGATACCACCTCCAGATTAAATAAGAAAGCAGAGATTTCTTTGGGAAAAGAAATGTGCAACGCTCATCGTTCTTAAAAGCACCCCCTCAGGACTTGAGACCCGGAGCTGAAGACCTAACCAAACCCAGGAAAAGCATCCAAGCAATAAATGATGCTGATGGGAGAGGTTTGATGTGTAGTCCCATGCCACTGTAAACAAAGCTCTCTTTATTGGCTGTTATCAACGGCTAAAGAAGGCTCTTTTTCAGCAAGCCAAGTTAGATCAGAATCTAAATCCACCAAGACACTCCCCAAATCAGATGTGTAAGTTGAAATTCCATCTGGTCAGTAGAGAACTGAGAAACTTTGAAGGTCAGGAGCCTTAGGGGGCTGATCCATACCAGTATGGCTACTGCACTGGAAGGATTTAGCTAGAATTAGGATGGATTCACCTGGGCAGGTGGAACCAAACTTCATGATTACAGAATCATACAGCACTGTAAGTACTTGGGCTATATAATTCTGTACAGTGACACGGTTGTAACACTTCTTGTGCCTGTCTACACAGACCTGATCAAACCATGCAGTAACATGTTTGGAAGAAGATGCTGTGTTATTATAAACCAATCCCCCAACACAATACTTGTGCTATTGCACTAAGGCTCTTGGCACTTATGACCAGCTCTAGCAGATGCTTCTACAAAATACCCTGGACTTAGCGCTTCTTCTTTAAATATGGGATCTATCAGAATAAAGACCTCCTTGCCTAATTTAACCCTTTGTGTATTAAGGTAAGTGGCAGGTAGGTGCAGAAGCCTTTCTAAAAAATAAGATTTTGAGAAAAATTAAGTTTGATCTATACAGCCAGCAGCATCAATAGCTGCAAGCTCTGACAACTGAAATCAGACTCCACAGTACTTCACAGCACCAGAGGCTGAGAAGCATCAATGATGAGCAGATAAGACCTGCAGAGAAAAACATCTTTACTGCGTCCTGTCCCTGCTCTCAGATGGGTACTCAAGGCTGAGGCTCTCTTAACTTGAGGATCACACTGCTGCTGTGCAAGCGTGCAGCAAATAACACTGCAACTTCCACATTTCTGTAAACAATGCCAGATCGTGCACTGATTCCTGCGAGGTTAAACTCAAGGAACTGCACACTTCAGGGACTGTGCTCTGATGCCAGCCAGAGGGCAGGCAGGTTCCCCCCCAGGGAAAGGTCTTCTCACTGTGGAGGTTTCAAAAAGTGAAGTTTTTGTAAGAAAAAGGTAGTGTTTTCATTCCTCTGGAGCCTCCAACCTTCCCTTTCTGGTGACATAGGCTCAGAAAAGAATTATTTTGCGCCCAGGACAGCTGCCGAGTCCCCAGAAGCTCTGCATGACATACCCGGCTCTGCGCAGAGGTACTCACCTCCGTTGTCGGTCCGTTTCAGGGCTCCATCTTTGTGGGGACACAGTTCACATCTCTTGAAATTAAGCAGAAACAACAAGTTTAATCTAACTCCCAGGGGCGTGGGGCCAGAAAAGAGATGATTCACTTACAACATGGTTATGAAAGATGGGGCTGCTTTCAAAGAGAGGAAGTGGAAGAAGGGCTGAGGGCGGTTTGGGTGCAAAAAGATACTCTGACACAGCTCAATATCGTCCTGTCTGACGGGGACGCGTTTAAAGCCTCAGTCCAAGAGCCACAGGGCTACAAGCGAACCTTGACTTTCACGGGGCTTTTAAAAAAAAAAGTTTTAGACTTTGTGGTTGGGGAGTAAAACTGAAAACCATGACTCAGAGAGCAAAAGGCAAATAAAAAGAAGCCATTATCTATCTTGGTCTCTTTCCTTCCTTCCTTCTCTCGTGACATTTTTTCCACTCTCATGAGAGGCGGGTGAGGCTGTCGTGACATTTTTGCTGGCAGGGTGTGGGGGGCCGTGGCGAGCCTGGCCCCAATAGCTGGGACTGGCAAGTGGGCACCCTGCTTTCCCCCAAACCCAGCCTTGGGGGTGGCTGAGGTGTAATGGAGAAGGCACGAGGGGAACGTCAGCACCAGAGAGTCCCTGCCGCCCGGGAGGGTGGAGGAAGCTCCCTCAGGCGCCATCATGCCGGGCGGGAGGCCGCAGGCCCAGCACCGTGGTGGGCTGTGAGGGATGGAAGCGACCCCGCGCCCCTTTCCAGGCCCAGCCACTAATGGCTGCTTTTGGGGAAAACCGTGAGGGGGAGACACGCTGTGTCCTCCACCGGGGACCAGCAGCCGCAAGGTGATCGGAGATGAGCTCCCCTCACGCCAGGTCCCCCGGGGCAGGGAGGCCTCCGAGGCCAGCGGCGGCCCCAAACCTGCTGAAGGGTCTCCCCTCACGGCCAGGGCGGGAACGCGCCTCACCTCCCCACCACACACACCCGGCGAGCGGACGGGGAGAGTCCGGCCAGGCGGGACGGCAAGAGCCGGGGAAACCCAGCGCCACGGCCCTCAGCGCCATTCCTCGCCTCACAGCGGACAGCGAGGCCTCGCGCTTGTTTTTCCCGCCTCGCTAACTTCAGCCCTGCCTGGCCATCGTCGGCCGATCGCCTCGTAGCCATAACGCCCTTCTGAAGCGTTGGTGGAAGGTGGGGTGGTTTCGGGGCGCGTTGCCACACATGGGGGAACACGCTCCCAGCCCCGAGGGCTTCTCCTGGGTTGAGCCGCCCGAAAACGGTTGCTGTCTTCTCATGGCATCACTCAGGGAAAAATTTCTATGTGCTTTTTGGTTTTTTTGACTTTAAAAAAGGCCCGAAAACCTGCGAGGCGCAAAACTTTTCCTGCCCCAGTAGAAATGTCCGATTTGTTAAAACAAACAAAACAAAACAAAAAAAACCCCTGCTTTTCTGTGAAAAATGTCCCTCGTCAGAAAGTTTTGAAATGAGGTGCCCGGTGTCAAAGCGAGACGGTGGGCTGAGCCGCTACAAGCGTGTGGGACCTGGTGCTCTCGCCTGCCCGTGCTTTGCCGTGATTGCTCGGCTCTGGCAAGCGTAACGGGGCAGGTGCTCCATGCCACGAAAAACACCGATATATTGAGCAATAACTGGCTGTGAGCAAAAGCCTCTGCCACTAAGTAGTCCCTGAGGACCTTCCACAAAGGTGGTTTTCCTCAAGCAAGATTTCCTCTGCTGAAATTTTACCTCCTGGACAGATGGGCACAATAAATAGGATTGCAATGCAATGGGCGGCAGAGAGGCTCAGCCCGATCCTCAGAACACTTTTGTGGGAGTTAAGCGTGCGGCGCTGTCAAACAGGCAGCTTTGGCAAGCACGAAATCCCCGTGATAACATATAAATAAGAGATGAGGGGACAAAGACCAGTGCTGTCGTCAGCAGCCCATCTCGCTGTCCCTGCAACTTAGTTTGAAATATGGATGGATGACCACAGGAGGTGTTTCTCACTGCTCCTGGTTAGGTCCGGGCTGCCAGAGGGCTGGAGAGCTGCTCTCACAATTACTATGGAAAGCCCGGCAAAGCCAAGACAGAAAAAGAACTGGGTTAACTGAGACACTGTAATAAGAAATTTGCACTTGAAAAGGCCCCTCCGCTCTCCCCTCCACCCCTCAGATCAAAGCGGCTCTCCCACCATGCGATTAGCAAAGCTCTGATTGTAACAAGAGGGGTTAACAGCTCCATCGGCCCCACACAAGACTTTTAATAGCCCTGCCTCGAAATGACAGCTAAAGCCTTCACATGATCCCTCACATGAGTGCCCTCTGGCCATTGCAGCTCACCGGGCTTCCTAGACAATTTGATTACAAAGTGGATGGGCTTTCAGTTGCTTACTGTAAGCATAATAGCATCCACAGCATCCTTTAGGGACCTGAGCATCTGAGGAGGGGTTACAAGCAGGGATTAGTGGTACCTCTTCCTTTTATTCAACCTGAACAGGCCAAGGCAGTCTCCGGGGGTTTTTATTTCAACTCTGGGAAAAGAGCAGAGCTTGGCTGATTTAAACCAGGTTGTAATGGGTAAAGTTAGAGCTCCTGACCCTGGGGGCTTCTAACTCCAGGATCTACCTACCACCAAGCGACTACACCTGCCAACTGAAAGTTAGGGCTCCTGAGCTCTCTTTCCAAAGCTGAAGGGGGGATGGAGTCCATCTCTCCAAAGGAGAGACACAGAAATCAGGAGACCTATGTTTTAAAACACTTGTGAAGAAGTGCAATATTGTCCACACCTCTGTATCTCATTTTCAAAGCAAAAGCATCAATATTTAGTCAATAAATATGGACAAAGCTTGTAAACTGCTTTAAGATTCTTCTGTGAAGGCAGATGTGGAAAGAAAAACATCATTGTTTTTCAAAGGAATTTACCACGCAGTCATTATGAAAGAAATATGAATATCAATTCATCCTGCTGCTGTTGTCAGTGTATTTTGCACTCAAATAGCAGCATCTCTCCTTCAAGATCCTCAAGGCAGTGTCTGCAGGCCAATAATGCCCCTTTTACAGCTGGAGAAAGCCAGGCACAGATAGGTGCCGTGAAACCCCAGGGCAGTGGAAGAGTCATACCCTCCAGCCTCACTGGACCACGGAGCCCAAATTCAAAGTGTTTTAGTAACAGAGCCATGCACAGATCTCATAAGACCTGACTCATTTCCCTTACTCTGATCATGCTGTTCTCTACATCAAAGAACTAGATTCTTTTTAAGTATTTACCCATCTGCGTGTCTGTTGCTATGACTGCTGGTGTTTAACTGAAAAGGTGAGGGATTTAGATAGGAAATCATCCCCAGCTCTGCTTAGGAAGGAAGATTATCACTGTTCAGTTATTATAGTAGCAGGGCTGAATGCCATAGGACTGAATGGCATGACTGAAGCCCACCACGCATTGTCTAACAGATTTCACTGAGGGCGAGTTAAATAAGGAGCCACCTGCAGGGGTATTGTTTTCTTGATACCTCAGAGGCAGTCTGAAGTGTGTAATGTGCAAGTGAAAAGTTACAGTCCTTGCAATGAGCACAGGTGAGGAGGACTTGTGTGTACATGTATTACTACAGCTTACATTGAATTGTAGCTAACGCCGAAGAGCTTCTCTCTGCCTGCACGGTTGGGAGAGCCGGGGAAAGGAGGCCCATGAAATCCAAATTCCTTTCTTTGCTACGAAACTATCTGCAGGATGTAAAACCACTCAAAGACATATTTGATCTTCTTTACTGCAGCACACATAAAAGCAGCATCTTACAATGGGAAAAGAGCTCAGGTCTGAAAGTCTGGTCTTGTTTACACTCCCACTTCAATGAGGAATGAGTTAATGCAATGTAGAAAGCATGGTACAGATACCTAATTCCCCCATTCGCTCATCTTTGCCAAGTTCTTGCCCATCTGTGAAACAGATTAAACTTTTGTACTGCAGCAAGCAGAGAGCCCAGCTGAGATGAAGCACGCTATTTGCTCAGGCCTGCACAGATACGCACATTCAGAGGTCACCTACATCAGTTTCGCTAGGTGTGTACTTTAGAAAAGATTTAGCTAAACCAGTTCCGAAGGCAGTGCAGGCATTAATAAATGTTGTTTGTGCTGACTGAGGCCTTCTGTACTTAAGGAACACCGAAGTTTAATTTAAATCCATCTTTAAGGAAGCGAAGGGAGGAAGCTATCCCAGATTTACTGTATGGCAAAAGCAGCATCTCTGGCATAACTAACATGTTAAAGATCTACACCCCAGTACCTCAGTAGCTGGTTGGCGCAGCCGTATCTGATAAGGGCTCGCATGGGAAGTTATTGCAGAGTAGCTGTTGTGCTATAAACTCGCAGCCTAGTCTACTGCACAAATAACTTCGCCACATAGACAGACCTAAGAGGCAGTCCTGGCCTGATTGTTTCCACTTTCCTGCCTCACCGGGAAATGCCAGAATTAATTAAGAACATTTGTAAAGTGTTCTATACTGCTAAATTGCTACTTAGACAGAAACTAAACCCTGATCCAGCTTCCTGTCATTTTCTCTGCTGTTTTACAAACTCTGAAGACTTTATGCAGGAGACTGTTGCTGCGAGATATGAATGCCAATCCGTCCTGTCAGTCAGTATGATAACTATATGACAGTATAGCAGCATCTCAAGTGATGCCAACTTCCCTCCACTCCAAAACTTCCTGAGGAGCTGAACAGAAAAAACAGCAGGGAAACCACCTTTTAGAAGAATGCCATTATTTTTTTAAAAGATTGAGGTCTCCAGACTCAAAAATTTTGTCACTGATAACTTGCTTAAAAGCACCTCTGGCAGCATCTTCATCAAAATGGCTAATAGCATTGTATAAAATTGCTTGATACAATTATTCCTATTGTACAAACAAGATATAGCAGGTTACAGGCAGAGCTGGGATTACAATCACAGTAGTGCTGAAATGCCAGGCTCTATCACTTTTGCCAGGGGACCACGCTGGTTCCAGCAGAGACATGAAGGGCATCGAATGAACCTATTTAGCGTAAGTACAAGCGTGCTTCGTACTCACCACCCTGGCGGCTCTCTCTTGAGATTCACATTTCCGACAGAACCAGGGTCCGGTAGGAACCTGGACAATTCCATAGCAAGCTGGAAGAAAAGCAAAGAGAGTTCATTAGACCATCTGTAAATCAACTGTTTAATTTCTCAGGTGTACATAAAAGTTTGCCAGAGCTGTTATCAGTCAGATATGGGTGACAAAACCAAAAATTACAACTACGCAGCATTTTATTCCTCTTTCTAGTTTCCATAGCCAGCAACAGCAGATTGCCTTTTGCAACGGGTCCAGTGTTATACATTTATTCCAGTTTTCAAATAAGCTCATGCCCAGTATCAAAAATTCTTGTGAAAATGTGGCTTAAGTGGGAATCGAGTGCTTCATAAACTGTGTCTAATTCTGGTCTAGCAAACACAAATGGAACAATTTCTTACCCCTTAACTTTTCAAGTGTCACTAGTGATCTAAATATAAAATTATGAAATGGATGGCTATGAAGCACCTTAACCATAATTAGGACTAAGAGAAAATCTCAGCATCATGAAGGAAACCATCTCAGTGAGAATTCAGACAGACACCAAGCAAAACTCCCATTTCTTCTGCACACCCTCAAGTCTGTAAGTCACACCCAGCAGCAGCCTTTTGCAGCATGCTTCCAAGATCACTGAATTCAGGCTTTTTAGGACTACTCCTGGGAACAGGTTCTGTGTCAATGCAAATTTCCAGCTGATAACCCGACAAAGGTGCTGCTTTTGCAAAGCTATACCACACGTCCCTCTTGCTTTCTACATCACTTGATGCTCTCAGGGTCTCCCTCTGCAAGCTGCAGCTCCCAGTTCTCTAAAATTAGCTCCCTTCTCTGACGGGGCAATGTGGCTTGAAGACTGTTCACCTTCTTCGGCCATCCTCACCATCTAACCATCCCAGGATGGTCTTTGTGAGTCCCAAAGGAAGCGTTTCTGACCCTGAAAGGGCTCTTAGCCACCACGCAGGTGGGTTTAAAGCAACAGAGGCTGGTAAAGATAGTGGTAAGAAGTAAGGCTATGCATCTCAGACGAGGGTATTGAAGTCTCCTAGGGAAGAACAAATTATATCTTCCTTATTCCACCTTCAAATGCAAACTGGCGGTTGGAATGGAATCCCAGTCACTTGAGACGTTTGAAACTAGGTTGGACAAAGCATCTGAAAATATCCTGCTGGAAGCAATCCTGTGATGTTCCCTGGGGGATGGACCAGACACGACCCGCAATAGGTTCTCTCCATCTCTCTAATGTCTATTATTCCACATCAGCCAGGAAAACGAATGCAATTGTAGAGTTAAACCAAAAGAGCTGACTGCAAGATGAGCCAAGGCGTACACATAAGCAAATAGAAACTACATGAAAGCAATGACAGAGGAGCCTGCCTTGGGTCCATCTTTAGCAGTGGGCTTAGGGCCAAAAGCAAGCACTCAGCTGGAGCCAGTGCAAGCTTCTGTGCCCACTGCTTCAAAAAGGAAGAAAACAAGGAAGAAAACAAGGAAAAATGCGGAACATAAGTAAGGCAGAGTTGAAAATATGGTTTGTAAATGTTCTTAACTATCTTATTAGAGTCTTAATTTGCAATCAGATGTTTTTGTTAACATTTTGAATTTTTTACTGGAAGGGTAAGATTTCTAACCATCGTCACAGGAATGGTACTGATATTTTTAAGAATCAGCCCTAATGTGTAGCTACAATGTACCTTTTAAAAAAAATACAGGGTTCTCTATTTAACTGTACAATCATTTCAAAAGGTAACTTTGGGTTTGTGGATATTCAAGCAGTACAAAGAGATACCAAACCCAGTGTGTGATTGCATGGAATGAGACTAGATGACCCAGATGATCCTCTACAGTGGTTTGTTTCTATTTAAGAAATAAAAGCCTACCAAAACACTACACTACTGCTAGGTTTATAAGCAGGCTTTAAAAAGAGGGTTGAAGAACATCCACTACACACTGCTACACTCCTTATGAATTACTATATCCTGAAGGACTCTTACAAGACCTAAACAGACAGTTGTGTTTCCAAACACACAAGCGGTGCCCTCTCTCAGACTTTTCTAACATGCTCCAACTCTACCAAAACAATGCTACGCGCCCGCTTCCCCGCCGCTGCAGCAAACACATCCAGTCTCTGAACCTGCGCGGGCCTAGAAACAGGCACCCTAAAAGAATAAAAGCATTGTACGTTTGAAACTGTTCTTGCCAGCAAACAAAAGTGTTTAGATTAATCTTGGGAGCGGGCATAAGGATGCCAATGCCCTTTATCTCCCTCCAAAAAAGAGAGCGATGATCTAGCATGGGGTTTGATAAATAACGGGAAGAACGGAACACTTACACCAGCAAAATTCAAACAGAAAGAAGTGTCCCTCCAGAGAGACCCTTACATGCTGCCGGGTCACTCAGCCTGGAGAGGTTGCCTGATGACAGGAGACACCCAAGCATCGCTTCCGAATGAAGAGAAATCCCCCGCAAGTTTTGCTTCCTCCTTTTAACTCCTCTTCAGTCCCTTGGTTGTAAGCGACTTCTTACTAAAGCCGTGAGCGCGGACACACCAAACGCACGAAAAGCTAAAGAAAGCCCAACCTACAGACCCAGAGACCTGCGCCTGACAGGCGGGCAGAGGCAGAGCAGGACACATTTGCAGCTGGAGACAGGAGCGTGCATCAAGACACCGAGGGAGAGATTGTACAGGAAGAGGCTGGAGATGTGCTGGTAGATGGATAGGATAATAATAGATGGAAAAACAGACATGCCAGATGAGACCAGAAACCTTCGTGTTATTCAAAACAAACCAACCAGGATAATCACCGTGCCTTTCTGCTGGATTAGAACGAAAGTAAATAAATATTTTTTTTTAATTTTTTTTTTTTTTGGTGTGTGTTCGGAGACCCGAGGACAAACTTTCCACTCCGATACCGTGTGTTAGGGGCGTGCTCCAAGTCATTTAAAATGCAAATAGCCCATATCCCGGGGGGTGGGGGGGGAGGAGGAGAAGGGCTGCCTTCCTCCCTGCCCTTGGAGAAGGCAGCTCCGGGCCCCGCGGCCGCCCCCGGGGGGGGTTACCCGGGGCCATGTGCGGCAGCGGGCCGAACCGAGAGCACCGGACCCCCCCGGGAGGGGGGGCTGCGGGTCTTCCCGACCCGGCGCTGCCCTCCTCCCGGCCCGGGGCTCGCCAGCCCGCCCTTCCCGGGGAGGGTGAGGCCCGGCTCCGCCGCCCCCCCCC